AGGTAGGAATTTGAGCGTCGGTCTGACAGTAAAGCTTGGGTTCTTTCTGCTTTAGCATGAGTACAAACATTTCGTTTTAAGTTTGTGTACATGAAAAATAGATGCAAAATTGTCTCAGAAGACTTCTGAGATTTTAATGTTCAATAACTGTTTAGAAACTTGGGGTCTTTAGACTCTCAAATGGTAGAACATTCATGTTCTGTTTCTTAAAATTGGTGTAGCTTTATTGGCAATAGTACTGAATTTGGAGTAGGGGCATTTGCATGTATATATGTATAAAATAAAGAACTTAATATTTCATTGTGGAAGTTATAGTGAGAAGCATTGTTTGGTATTTTTTGTAATTTTGGCACTCATTAGAAATAAGTCATTTATTCTGTCACATTGAAACATTGACTATAGTGAATTTGTCACTAAATTCTAATATGTTCGTATGGCAGTAGATTTTGATTGATTGTACTGGCTGGAGCCTATTCTTGATACTTTTTAGCTTTACAGTTTATATTTTCAGCAGACATTGATGCCCTGTGCCCCCTCCATTGCAGAGTTTCAATTGCTTGCTGAAGAGTTAGTGTTGAATTTGGTGGTCACTCTCTATTCACTAAAACCTGTGGCTGATTAGGGTCAGTTCTGGCAGTGCCCACCTAAGACTATTCCATTACAGTAGTCTTTTCTTTTTGCAGCTCTTCAGAACAAAAGCCTCATGTCCCACTCCACCCCATCCATCTTTTGTGCCTATTCTTCAGTGAAAAACCCTCTTATTTAACCCGAATTTTTTCTGAAAGTGCTTCTTCCCATTTCTCATCCCAGGAGACAGACCCAACTTTGTCTCTCCTATTGTTCTTGCCTTCAAATGGAAACCACCTCCTTCCATTCATCTGGAACCACAGGCTCTGAGCCCTTGCATGTGCTGGTGTCTCTACTTGGAGAACCTTTCCTTGACTTCTTCACAGGTGACTCCAACTCATTCCTTACAACTTAGTTTGAGTATTACCTGCCCCACGAAACTTCCCCTCAGCAAGTGAGTAATAATGATTTTTAAAGCAATAATATGTATCAGACAAAGTACCAGGAACTTTACAAGTGTTATCTAGTTAGTCCTCACAACAATTACATAGGATAGTTACTGCTGGCTGGGTGCGGTGACTCACACCTGTAATCCCAGTACTTTGGGAAGCCGAGGCAGGTGGATCACGAGGTCAGGAGATTGAGACCATCTTGGCTAACATGGTGAAACCCTCATCTCTACTAAAAATACAAAAAGATTAGTCGGGCATGGTGGCAGGCGCCTGTAGTCCCAGCTACTCGGGAGGCTGAGGCAGGAGAATGGCGTGAATCTTGGAGGTGGAGCTTGCAGTAAGCCGAGATCGTGCCACTGCACTCCAGCCTGGGTGACAGATCAAGACTCTGTCTCAAAAAAAAAAAAAAAAAAGAAAAAGAAAAAAAGAAAACAAGATAGTTGCTGCTGCTGCTTTGCATGCGGGGGAACTGAGCTAATAAGAGATAGGAGTGGAATTCAAACCCTGGTATCTCTCATTCAAAAAATTTATGTGTCCCACTAGATCATGTTACTTCTCTGGCCACTCCATCTTTTGTATCACTTTTATACTTTGTTCATATTTGTTATCATTATCATAATCATTATGAGTGAAGCCTGTGCCTTCATAATCTCCTTATCCCTAATTCAGTCCTTAGTGTATCACAGGTATTAAAGTGTGTACTGGATATATACATAAACTATTAGATGGCTGGATTCTCATTTGGTCTGTTCTCCTGTGGGGCCTCTGATGCTCTTTGCTGGACTCCTAACTGCCCTCTAGATACTCTTACTGATCAGACTTATAGAAAACTTGCCACCGAGTGCCTTTTCTTACTGGGTAGTTCTGGTGCCAGATGCAGTCTTCCCTTATCTTTCCTGTTTTGCTGAATTTAACAGCCATGGCACATTTATTCCTCAGCTATGACATTCTAAATGCTTTTGTTCTGGCTATGAGCCTAGGATTTGTGTGCTGTGGATAAGTGGCTCATCACTGGGATCGAAGGAAACAGGCTCTCCCAGAAAACAAGCATTCTTACTTGAAATTATGTGGCTAGGGAGCCTGGAAAGTTATTTTATGTCTCACATGAATCTTTTTGGTCTTAGCTATTACTTACACGTTTTGTTATGAAAGAAAAACAAACCAGTTATTGTTAGTTACTCTGTCTGCAAAAAGATTGATCTTTTGTTGAATATGAAGATATTAATAATAAGGTTTATTATGACCAATGCCTATAGTTGTTGGGGAGTAGGTAAGGCTAGCAGAAGCCCTTTGGGTTTGACAATATTGTCCATCACCAAAATAAATACTTACGTGTTTATATCTTTTTAGACTCCTGAAAACCAAAAATGTTGACTAGAACATAAGATGGGGGTGCAGTTATAGCATCTTGTCTGATAGGGAGCCTTTCAGAATCAGGTAGAAATTTAGCCTGATTGGAGTCAGGCTGGGTGTAGGGGTTTTGACATTTTGCTCCAAAAGGAAAGCTACAGGATGGAGTGAGGGCTTCATTATGGTGGAGGTGCAGTTTTTGGCCTTGGAGACTTCACAGATACATTCTGACTTTGTTTACATGTCAGGTCATTGGCTGCCTTACACTGGGTACCTGCCTTGTATGTTATATTTGTAAGCTCCAAAACACTGTTTCCATCAATCAGTTAATGACTTTCAATCAATAATCCTTACTTAATGGAGGCCTTTTGTTGGACATAAATGGCAACGTAAATAGGACATGGTTCCTGCCCTGGAGGGGCTCACAGTTCAGTGTAGTTTTTGTTGTTGTTTCTGTTTTATTAAATTAATATTATTTCTGCTAAAACTTGAAGACAGGGATTTTGGAATCTGTTGTTGGTATTTTGTTGTAGACTGTTTGGAGTTGTCAAGTTTGCAGTGGTCTGGCTATAAGGGGAAAGTTGCCTGAATCCTTCAATTGTGCTTTCATCCCTTGAACATGATCTTGAGGATCAGAGTGCCTTTCCTCATGTGGAATGAAACATCCAAGTCAGAGTGTTACATTACCCATTTCCTCAGCTAACTACGTAGTTTTCCTGGAAAGTTGCTAGCTTTGGACAGCTCCTCTCTCTCAGTACTCTTGAGAATGTTTGACGTAGAGGACAGGTACTCTTGACTGTGGAATTTTACATTAATATATTTATTAGTGAAAAAGTTTTAATTGGTGCATGATAGTCAAAGCTAGCAGACTTCCCAGATTTACTATTGAATTCCTGATCTTATTGATCTTTTGCTTATTGGATTAAGATTCCTGAGTATGAGGAGACTATTTTCTTTTCAGCTTCCTGGATGGAGCACAGCAGAGCCTTCCTGTTTGGATCCTTAGAGCAGTTTTACTTCTTCAAGAATCTATTGGCAACACTGAATTTTTTGTCTGCCTTAGCTACATGTGGGCCCACTTGCTCGCTCTTAGACCTGTTCTCTGATTTCATGAAGAGGAAGGAGGGATTATTTCCTTTTTCTTATAATTTTTTTTCTTCTGTTTTTTGTCTTTTTCTTTTCTAGGCAGGGCCACTACTTCTTAGCACATCCAACCTTCTGGCTCATCTCCCCCGCGCCCGGCATCTTACTATGCCCCTCCCCACCCCAGGATAAATTCCAATAATGCTGATCTGTTACAGGTGGAGTTCCCCACCCCAGGATAAATTCCAATAATGCTGATCTGTTACAGGTGGAGTTCATGTTGATTGAGGTGAATTTTAGGGCTGTAACTGGTTTGGTCTGATCTGGATCCCCATTATAATATTGAAATCTCCACAGTGGAGGTGAGGAACAATGCCACTTCCATTCCTTTAAATGTCTGCTACATCTCAGATGATCGTTGGGAGTGATTCATCTTCATATAATTTTAGGGGTAGAAGGAACCTCAATATGTCCTAGTCTGTGCTTAAATTCCCCCATTGCTTCCCTTCTTCCAACTGACACTGCAGCCTCTACTCAAACACTTGTAGTCACTGAGATAGTCTTTCCTTTTATCTTTGACAGCTATAAATGTCAGGAAGCCCTTTATATTAGATGGAAATTGGCACCCACTCTCTCTTCAAATCACACAGAAGTCTAATCCTGTATGCCTTATCTTCTTCAGAAATGTGAAGAGAGCTCTCACATTCCCCTTGAGATATCTCTTCTCCATGTGATCCCCTCATTTCTTTGACAACTTTTCCTATATTCCTTCCTGTTTGTCTAACTAAGTGATTTATGATTCTGGCTCTTTTCCACAAAATCACCACCCAAAAATTTTCACTGAGTGCCTATTATGTACAAGGAAGGGCCTGTGTTGGAGAAAGGTCCTTGGCTTCCAGTTGCTTAGTTTTATATTTGTTATTTTTTTTGAGACAGAGTCTCGCTCTGTTACCCAGGCTAGAATGCAGTGGTGTGATCTCAGCTCACTGCAACCTCTGCCTCCTGGGTTCAAGCGATTTTCCCACCTCAGTCTCCTGAGTAGCTGGGACTACAGGAGCACACTACCACGACTGGCTAATTTTTGTATTTTTTGTAGAGATGGGGTTTCACCATGTTGGCCAGGTTGGTCTCGAACTCCTGACTGCAAGTGATCAGCCTGCCTCTGCCTCCCAAAGTGTTGGGATTATAGGTGTGAACCACTGTGCCTGGCCAGCTTCTGGTTGCTTATAATGGAGAGGGAGAAAAGACTGATATCAACAGGGAAGAATCGGGGAGAGGGTTTCCTGGTTTATCCACTGTCTCTGAACTGCAATTTCTGTTTTCACCCTTTCTTTTTTTTTTTTGAGACAGAGTCTAGCTCCGTTGCCAGACTGGAGTGCAGTGGCACGATCTTGGCTCACTGCAATCTCTACCTTCTGGGTTCAAACAATTCTCCTGCCTCAGCCTCCCTAGTAGCTGGGATTACAGGTGCATGCCACCACACCTGGCTAATTTTTGTATTTTTAGTAGAGATGGGTTTTCACCATGTTGGTCAGGATGGTCTCGATCTCCTGACCTCGTGATCCACCCGCATCAGCCGTCCAAAGTGCTGGGATTGTAGGCGTGAGCCACCGCCTGACCTCTGTTCTCGCTTTTAACTGTCAGTATAGGGGCCACATTTAAGACTGTCCTTCCGTATTACAGCTTAATCAGTGAGGAACATCATGCAAATCAAAATAGAAAGGAAAAATTAAAGTAAACACCAGTCAAACATTTTTTAAAATTCTGAAATAATGTAAATTTTAAATATACTGTAAATCCTTTTATAAGACAATACAGACTCATTTTCCTAATCATGCCCTTAATGAAAATAATAAGCAAGTGCCAGTCTTCCTTAAAATATGGCAATATGAACTAGAAAACTCATTGGGCCCTTCTTTAGGCTTTGTAAACATGTTACAAAAGCAGTCAGTCATTTGGCTTGGTCTGCAGAATGTCAGACAATCCATAAGTTTTTTTTTCCCTGTACTTGGATAAAACATATTTTTGACTGAATTGACTATTTAGGTTTCTTGTAGACACAGTCTTAGTAAAGAAAACTTTAAAAATTGCTTTTGGAGAAGAAAATTGTAGCTAGTTATATCTTATAAAACCATTCTTGTGTTCATTTTCTTGAGGAAATTGCTATAAGTGTATCTTCTAGGCCAATATGTAAGAGACCTTTTTATGATTAAATAAAAGCTCAGAGATTTTTGGTATCAGAGTTGTTTTATTGACTTGCCTTAGCTCTAAAAATAAAATGAAAACCTTTAGCCAAAGGAAGGCTCATGTGTTAGTTAAATACTGACATGATTTGAACTTATTTTATTTACTTATATTATGTCCGATTCCTATGTATGTCCAATCTTTGGAGACACAAAGAACCATTATTGTGTTAGAAGATTCTTTGGTTTTGTAATACATATTTTTATATCTAAAGTCCTGTTTAAAGATAATTACATGGTTCTATAGAAAAAGAGCTATTAATCTTTGTGTTTACATAAGTTTGCAATACTTGATTAATTTTAAGCCTCTAAAATATGAGTGACATCATTTGTCCTGTGAGATAGTAGATTTGTTTTAGTAACAAATCTTTCAGATCAATTTGTAAATGAGAAAGAAATAAATGTGAGTAAACATTTGTTCTATCTTGGTTTTTGTTTAAGCTAAAATAATTAGAATTCAGCCGGGCAAAAAGAAGTTAAATTTGAAATCTAATTCTTGTCAAGAAATTTTGCATGCAGCTATTCAACCTATTGTTTTAGAATTGCTGTGGTGAGAAAGTAGAACATTACTTTGGCAAATGCAGGGCTTGGTAGACTGGAGAGCAAAAATGAAACTTCTCAGTGAGTAATAGAAAAAATTCCTGTGCTTTATGACTATAGCTACCGAGTACTTCTAAGGCAACTGATAAATCAGAAGGCTGGAGCGAGAAAGTACTCAGAAGTCTATGACAATGTCAGTGATACAATAATGACTTATTGAAAAATTGATGAAAATTAAAGGAAATGCTTTCTGAGCAAAGCTAAGAAAAGAATAGCTGTTTTTAGATCTCCCAAAATCTATCTTAAAATGAAAATTTTAATATTTAAAGATTCTGTTGAAAATTCGTGAATATATATATATTTGTAAACCTTGAAGGATATGGTAAGTATGCTTTTAGGAGTACAGTTTATCATGAAGGAACTCAACTGCAGTTAAATAAAACTGTACGTTACAAATGCTTCTTACAGTTTCTTATAAAAAGTACCATAAAGTCAGTATTCTTAATGTATGCAAAAAATGATGTTTTACACATCTGACATGGGACTTCTCCACACCTGCAGAGAGAAAGCACTATTTTTCCCAAACAGAAAGCCTATTATTTGCAGATCTACTCCACTGCTCTGAGTCATTGATGGTTATAGGTTTTATACTTAACCTGAAATGCAAAACGTTTTCTTCTAGGTCTGAAGTTAAATCATTTTGCAAAGTGATACGGCTACATTCTGAATTTTCTTTGTCTTGCTACATATTCTTGAAAAACCAGGTTAAGTGTTTATTAGAGGGGTGTGTGTGTGTGTGTGTGTGTGTGTGTGTGTGTGTGTGTGTGTTTTGAGTGGCATCAGTTGCATTCTTTTCTTCCTCTGCCTGTCTGGAGGGCACTTTTAATGTACCTGTCCCCATACTCTCCATTATAAGTTTTAATCACAATAGAAATTTTTTTTCCACCACTTTGATGAAAGGTCATATTTATTGGGCTGACTTATCTATTATTAAATTCTATTTAATAATCTTATAATACACTGTACACATTACCTGGGGTAAATGTAAGTACAGCATTTAGGATTTTAAAATCTATTCACAAATGAGATTGACCTCTAAATCCCCCTTTTGGGGAACACTGACCATGGTCAGATTTTGGTTATTCTAAGTGAATAAAATGAAGTGGGTGGCTTTGTATGCTCTGAAACCATTTATATGAGAATCGTCTGTTCAATAAAAGTAGGAGAGGACTCTGCTATGAAACTTCCTGAGTGAAATGATAAGTGGCATGAAGAAAAGTAAAGCAAGGTAAGGGGCGGAGAGCATGGGCTTGTTGTTTTAGATGATGTGGTTAGGAAAGCCTTTCAACTGAGCAGAAGGCACAGTGAAGCACGGGAGCAAACTGTGTGAATGTTTGAGGGAAAAGCATCCCAGGCAGAGGAAGCAGAAGGACAAAGCCTTGAGAAGGGAGTATACTTGGCATATTAGGGGAGCAGCAAGAGGCTACTGTATCTGAGAGAGAGGAGATATGAAAACTGAGAGGTAGTGAAGAGTCCATTTATTTGGGACCTTATAGACAAAATTCAAGAAAATTTGTCATTTCTGTTTCTTAATCTTGCTCTTTAATTATGTTTTTCTATCTTTTAGATTTGACTGCACACTTAGTATATTTTTATCCTTTCTCCTCTGATTTTAATAAAGGTTTAAGAGTATAAATTTTCTTGTAAGTGCAGCTTTGCCTGCATTCTATTAAGCTTAATGGCCATAAGTCACATGGCTACCCCAATCTGAAAGAGAAGCCCGGAAATGTAGGATGTTAATGAGCATATTGCTGCCCCAAAGAAAATCAGAATTTTGTTTGTAAGAAAGAATGGGAGGACAACTTTTAGGTAAACTACTAGCAGTATCTTTTATAAAATCCTATGGGCCTGGCAGATTTTCCTGCCAATCACAATAGATAAGGATTGGATAAAAGTCAGCACAGCTTTCTGATTAGAAAACCAACTATTTCTTTAATGAAATAAATATATTTAATTTCCTATTCTAGTCAAGTTTATTCCAGTTCAAAGGATAACGGTATATTGCATATATCCCCAGCTTTATCAATCTATGACTACAAAATCTACTTTTAAAGACTATTTGAAATGGTATAGCATAAAACTATAATAATGTGCTCCCAATTACTTCTGGAAGTTTCTCAAGGTAATCCTTTATATGTACCTCAGAGTGTATTTTTCTTCCTCCTCAAATGAGATCTTTCCAACTTGCCACTATGCAGCTGCCAATGGTCCTAGTTAAGTAAAATGCTGCCATACTTATTTTAGGCTCAGGGAAAAGTAGCACCCACTCATTTTTATTTTTGCTCAATATAAAAATGAGGATACTTATGAGGATACTTAAACTTTTAGAATTAGCTAGTTTTATAAAAAGTGAATTATTCACTCCTTTGTAAAGTATGTAATAGGAATTTGCTCTAATAATAAATAGATTAAGGTTTAAAATTTGAAACCATAGTAATGTATGTTTAACACCAATGTATTAAACCTTTTAAAAAACCAAAACCGACATTAGAAATACATTTCATACTGTGATCAAGTACACATGCACACACACACTCTATACATACATATCTGTCTAATTAAAAGTTTCACAGAAATTTCCAAGGAGGTATGCTAAATATTCTATTATCTATTTGATTCTACTTTATTTTTAAAAAGTGATATCAACCCACAGAATGGATTTCATAGCCCACTACTGCAGTTTGATAAGATGCTGTTTTAGACCATGCTTTTCAGCAGTTTTGTGGTCCTATTTTGTCCTTTTCATGTCTATACAGGATGCTTCTAGTGCTAGTTGCTAGCTTTTCTCTGATTTCCAGGATGGTGATAGGATAAGAATTTATCTAAATGGTGATTTCTTTTCTTTCTGCAGCTCTCACGTGTGAATATGTGTCTAGTGCATCCTTAACTTAAGGACTTCACCAGTTCGAAGTTACAGTTTTCACCATCAACTACCTTATCCTTTCTGTTCTGGTTTTCTTCCTCAAACAGTGGAAGGATTTTTAAAGTTGCTTTTGTTGCAGAGTTAAACAAATGGCTGATAGTGACTTATATAAAAAATCCATAGAATGCCCTTACTGTTCATCTGCTTCTCAGAAAGATGTACTTTGTGTGTGTTCCAGCAAAACAAGGGTTCCTCCAGTTTTAGTGGTGGAAATGTCACAGACGTCAAGCATTGGTAGTGCAGAGTCTTTAATTTCACTGGAGAGAAAAAAAGAAAAAAGTATCAACAGAGACATAACCTCTGGAAAAGATTTGGTAAATATCAAAGATTCCACATCTAAGCACAAGTTGATATCCTGTTCCCTGATGGCACTCCTAGCTTCATCCATATCCCATGAGTTCTTGTTAGTTAATTCATTGCCTTCATTACTATTAAACATTTCTTTCTCACAGAAGAGGTGAGTAAATTTGGTTAGTAACTTGTTATATTATGTTTCCAGCCACTGCCCAAATTAATTATTTCTCAGGACACGAGGTAATTAAACATGTTATCCCCACTTCTTTTTTTAATGGTTTATGCAGAAATGAATTGGTTTTCAAGTTGAATTAAATCTGAATTTTTGAGTATTTTCTTCAGCTGATGAAGAATGAGATTTATGGTTGTGGTTAAGTAAAGGGTAGTTATGGCTTTGTTATTTCAGTCATGGTTGTCTCGGTGGAATATGAACTATACTTAACAAAATCAGTTTGCATTAGTTACAAATAATCTGTGGCTACCCAGTTGTACTGATTTCGATGTATTCATCTTTTTAAAAAAATTTTTTTGGGATAGACTTTTGCTCTTGTTGCCCAGGCTGGAATGCAATGGCATGATCTCAGCTCACCGCAACTTCTGCCTCCTGGGTTCAAGTGATTCTCCTACCTCAGCCTTCTGAGTAGCTGGGATTACAGGCATGTGCCACCATGCCCAGCTAATTTTTTGTATTTTTAGTAGAGAGGGGGGTTTCTCCATGTTGGTCAGGCTGGTCTCAAACTCCCGACCTCATGTGATCCACCCACCTCGGCCTCCCAAAGTGCTGGGATTACAGGCATGAGCCACTGTGCCTGGCCATACTCATCTTTATATAGAATAGGCAGTGTGCAAGATTGTGGTTGATACAGCACAACTTTGGAGACAGAGAGCAATAAGCCTAAGAAAAGTCAGGTTCCCATTCCTCAAAATTGTACCTTCTTCATATATTCTCCCTTGACTGTTATTTCTGATTTGTGTTACCATATAGTTACTGCTATATGGATGTCTCAGAGTGAGTTGTTACTATGTTATTTTCACTCAAAGCATATTTTTGAGTGGCCAATAATTTATGTATAAGCTATTTGAGATGGTTGTTAAATTGTGAAAGGAGAGTGATTGAGAAAGCTATAAAGTTGCTTTCTTTGATTTCAGAGAATGACTAGGTAAACTTTGGTGAATCTGCTGTGCTGGTTATCATGTAGACTTTCCTGGATTCAGGGGATTGGATTGAATAACTTCTTAAGGTCTCCTTTAACCTAATGAGCCAATGAATTGCGTAGAGCTTAGAATTTGAAAAAGACAGTAAACAATCTTGTGCATAGTAAACATGGCACACGTTAAGGAGTTACCAGATTATCTAAATTAGGATTCTTTGTCAACCAAGAATATTACATCTTAAAGTTGTTGTTTTTTTATTAATTTTTTTTGATTCCAGCCCTCAAGAACCTCAAATGTAGAGAGAAAAGCATCTCAACAACAGTGGGGTCGGGGCAACTTTATAGAAGGGAAAGTTCCTCACATAAGGATTGAGAATGGAGCTGCTATTGAGGTATATAGAAAGCAAATGAAGCTACTGTGAACTTTCAGGTTTCTTCTAAGTCAATGGTTAATGAAAAAAAATGATTTAAAAATAAATCTCTAAAGAAAGGAAGTAAAGAGGAAACATACCATTTTCAAGTATGGTAACATTTTTACTAAAGAAATTACAGATTAATTATTTTCTGTTTATGGAGGACCAAGTGGATTTTAATTAAAGTAGAGAACATTTTCATTAGATAAAATGAGGATAGTTTCATCTTCAGGTCTTGGCCATTGCTGAAAACAATAGTGGAGTCTTTGTTTAGACCTTTTCATGATGCAGAAAAGGACTAGATGATTTTAGTTAGTTTGGCTGTTCACTTCCTTGATAGTGAGGCCAGAATCTCCCTCATGAGTTCCTCCATCTTTTCCATCCTGCGATTGGATAAATACCAATATTATTTTTCCAGGATTCAAATTATTATATAAAATATGAATTAAATATTAGAACAATAAAAAATTAAAATGTGTGTTTTTACATTAAAGAAACTGCAGTAAGAACAACCACAAAAAGAAGAAAATTGCATTAATGTTACCATTTAAATTGCTTTGGGGCACCACAAATTGCACCCATTTAAGATGGTATACTTAATAAATGTTTATGTTCTGATTGCTCAGCTGACTGACCACTCTTCATCTCTCTCCCTCTCCTTTGGCCTCCCTAGTGCCTGATACACAAAAATATTGAAATTAGGCCAATTATTAATCCTACAGTGGTCACGTGAAAGGGAGAGTTGCATGTCTTTCTCTTTAAATCAAAAGCTAGAAATGATCAAGCCTGATGTCAAAACTTATTTTAAAAGATATTTGGCAACTTACATGAAGTGCTTAGAAAAGCTGCCTGGCCTGAGAAACTCTGACTTGAAAAGTTTAAATTTCTCCCCTTTAATTAAAGGCCTGTACTTACAACACACACAGACAAATTTACCAAGTTTTAAATTTAGTCTTGGGCCAGGCGTGATGATTCATGCCTGTTATCCCAGCATTTTGAAAGGCTGAGGAAGGAGGATCACTTGAGACCAAGAGTTTGAGACCAGACTGGGCAACACAGCAAAACTCCTTCTCTACAAAATTTTTTTAAAAAATTAGCAGGGTATAGTGGCATGCAACTGTAGTCCTGGCTGCTGCGGGGATGCTGAGATGTGAGTATCACTTGAGCCCAGAAGTTTGAAGCTGCAGTGAGCTATGATCATACTGCTGCATTCTAGTCTGGGTGACAGAGTGAGACCTTGTCTCCAAAAACAATAAAATAAAGAAATAACAAATTTAGTCTTAAGAGCTTTTATAAAAGCAAAATGTGTTCATTGTGAAAAATTAGGCAAATAGAAGTGTGGAGAAAATAAAAATCATCAACCAGATATAACCAATTTAAAAATTATTACCTTCACTTTTTCTATGCATGTACTAGTTTTGTTTTATTTTTCTCTAACATTTTTCCTGTTTTAAATTAGGGGATATTTCAAATATATATACGTATTTTAAAGAAGTAACCTTAACCTGGTGTAGCTGAAGTTGAAGCTTCTATTCCCCCATAAAATAGGCTCATTTTAAATATTTTAAACATTTCAGAAGAGTATAAAGAAGGAAATTACAAGCATCCACAATTCTATTACCCTTACATAACTACTTTTAATATTTAGATGAACATTTTCCCAGATATCCATGTAAGCACCTCCGCATACATACATTTTCATCATGAAATCATATCTTATATGCTTTTCACATTGTACACTATGTCATGGACTTCTTCTGTGTCAATAAAAGTAGATCTACATTATCATTTTAATAACATCCTTACACAATTATTAGAAATAATAAACTATTTTCTCCTTCATCACCATGTGTTAATATCAAAGCAGTTAGTTGAACAAAGTGATTAGTGTATAAAAAACTAGTTGGCCATTTCTCATTTTAGAATTCCTATTTAAACAGTATTGAAGTACTGTCTTCAAATTGTGGTTCCATTTAGAGAGAAAATGAAAGTTTAACTTTTAAAGGACAAAAAAAAATTGGGGAAATGGTTATGAAGAGATTATTTTGAAAATGCGAAAAGGGTAAATGACCAGTTTAGTTGAGATTTAACTCACTTTATAAGATATAAGCATACTTCATCATATTGTGCTTTGATTTATTGCACTCTGCAGATCTTGCATCTTTTACAAATTTGAAGGTTTGGCAACTGTGTCAAGCAAGTCTGTTGGTGCCATTTTTCCAACAGCATATGCTCATTTTGTGCCTTTGTGTCACATTTTGGTAATTCTCACAGTATTTCAAACTTTTTCTTCATTATTGTATCTATTGTGATCTGTGATCCGTGATTTTTGATGTTACTATTGTACTTGTTTGGGGGTGTCACAAATTGCACCCATATAAGATGGCACACTTAATAAGTGTTGTGTGCATTCTGATTGCTCCAGTGACTGACCATTCTTCCATCTCTCTCCCTCTCCTTGGCCCTTCCTAGTCCCTGAGAGACAATATTAAAGTCAGGACAATGAATAACCCGATAGTGTTTCAAGCGAAAGGAAGAGTTACATGTCTTTTGCTTTAAATCAAAAGCCAGAAATGATTAAGCCTAATGAGGGGCATGTTGAAGGCCAAGATAGGCTAAAAGCTAGGCCTCTTGCACCAGTTAACCAAGTTTTTAATGCAAAAGAAAAGTTGTTGAATAAAATTAAAAGTGCTATTCCAGTGAACACATGACTGATAAGCAAAACAGCTTTGTTGCTGATATGGAGAAAGTTTGAGTGATTTGGAAGAAGATCAAACCAAGCACAACATTCGCTTAAGCCAAAGCCTAATCCAGAGCAAGGCCCTAACTCTTTTCAGTTTTGTGAAGGGGAGAGAAGTGAGGATGTTGTAGGAGAAAAACTTGAAGCTAGCACATATTGGTTCAGGAGGTTTAAGGAAAGTCACTGTCTCTATAACATACAAGTGCAAGGTGGAAGCAGCCAGTGCTGATGTAGACGCTGCAGCAAGTTATCCAGAAGATCTAGCTAAGACCATTGATAGAAGGTGGCTACACTAAACAACTGATTTAAGCCTTATATGGGAAGAAGATGCTAACTAATCCTTTCATAGCTAGAGAGGAGAAATCAGTGTTTGGCTTCACAGCCCCAAAGGATAGGCTAACTCTCCTGTTAGTGGCTAATGAAGCGGTGACTTTAAGTTGAAGCCAGTGCTCATTTACCATTTTGAAATTCCTAGGGCCTTAAGAATTTATGCTAAATTTACTCTGCCTGTGCTCTTTAAATAGAACAACAAAGCCTGAATGATAGCACCTTTGTTTATAGCATGATTTACTGAAATTTTAAGCCCACACTTGAGACCTACTGCTCAGAAAAAAGTCTCCTTTCCAAATATTACTGCTCATTGACAATGCACCTGATCACCCAAAAGCTCTAATGGAGATGTACAAGATGGATGTTGTTTTCATGCCTGCTAACACAACATTCATTCTGTAGCCCACGGATCAAAGTGATTTCCGTTTTGTAGCCTTATTATTTAAGAGATAAATTTCATAAGGTTATATCTGCTACAGATAGTGATGGATCTGGGCAGATTAAGTTGAAAATCTTTTGGAAAGGATTCATCATGCTAGAAGCCATTAAGAACGTTTGTGATTCATGAGAGAAGGTCAAAATATCAACATTAATGGAGTCTGGTAAACATTGATTCCCACCCTCATGGATGACTGAAGGGTTCAAGTCTTAAGTGGATAAAGTAACTATAGATATAATGGAAACAACAAGAGAACTAGAAGTGGAGCCTGAAGATGGGACTGACTTTTTGCAGTCTTATGATAAAACATGAATGAGTGAAGAATTGCTTCTTATGGATGAGCAAAGAAAGTGATTTCTTGAGATGGAATATACTCTGGGTGAAGATGCTGTGAACATTTTTGAAATGACAACAAAATTTAAAATATTATATAAACATAGTTGATAAAGCAGTGGCGGGGTTTGAGAGCACTTGTTTCAGTTTTGAAAGAAGTTCTGCTGTGAATAAAATGCTATCAAGCAGCATCACATGCTACAGAGAAATATTTTATGAAAGGAAGAGTCAGTTGATGCACCAAACTTCGTGGTTGTCTTATTTTTAGAAATTGCCACAGCCATTCCAGTCTTCAACCATCACTACCCTAATCAGTCATCGGTCATCTACATGGAGGCAGGACCCTCCACCAGTAAAAAGATTACAACTGCATTGTTATGTTTGTTAGCATTTTTTTGCAATACAGCATTTTAAAATTTTGTGTACATTTTTAGACATAATGCTGTTGCAGTTAATAGATTATAATATAGTGTAAACATAACTTTTATATGCTTTATTGAAATTTTTGCTTTATGGTGGTGGTCTGGAACTGAATACACAATATCTCTGAGGTATCTCTATATAATTGAGAGTTGCATATAAATATAAAAATAAAATTATGTTTTGTACTATTTTATAATTATCTAAGTTTTCTGACTTTAATTCTATCATGTGCTATTAAGTGGTATCAAGGAAGAGAGAGGAGTTAGGTTTTTTAAAGAGATACAAAAGAAACAGCTCCTTTAGGAGCTTTTAGACTGTCTTGGAAGAAAAGAAATGAGCCAAAAGATTTGTAAACAAAAAAGCAATAATATTGTTTGAGGACCAATACATAAATGGTGATAGGAGTAAAAATAACAGAACAGACACAATTGTGTGAAACAAGGAAACCCTTCATGAAGGAGGTGAGTAATTAGTTGGGCATTCAATTTTCTGTTACAAAAGAAAGGAATGTATGCATTAGAAAATACAAAGACAAGCCTCTCATTTACCTGTTGCATGGTGATATGGTTTGGTTTTGTGTCCCCACCCAAATCTCATCTTGTAGCTCCCATAATTCCCACTTCTTATGGGAGGGACCCTGTGGGAGATGATTGAATCATGGGGGCAGGTTTTTCTCATGTTGTTCTCATGATAGTGACTGGATCTCATAAAATCTGATGGTTTTAAAAATGGGAGTTTCTCTGTACAGACCCTCTCTTTGCCTGCTTCCATCCATGTAAGACGTGACTTGCTCCTCCTTGCCTTCTGCCATGATTGTGAGGCCTCCCCAGCCATGTGGAACTCTAAGTCCAATGAACCTTTTTATTTTGTAAATTGCCCAGTCTCGAGTATGTCTTTATCAGCAGTGTGAAAATGGACAAATACAGTAAATTGGTACCAGGAGTGGGGTGCTGCCAAAAATATACCCACAAATGTAGAAGTGACTTTTTTTTTTTTTTGAGATGGAGTGTTGCTCTGTCACCAGGCTGGAGTGCAGTGGTGCAGTCTCAGCTCACTGCAACCTTCCCCTCCTGGGTTCAAGCTATTCTCATGCTTCAGCCTCCCGAGTAGCTGGGATTACAGGCACAGGCCACCACACCCAGCTAATTTTTGTATTTTTAGTAGAGACGGGGTTTCACCATGTTGGCCAGGATGGTCTAGATCTCCTGACCTCATAATCTGCCCGCCTCGGCCTCCCAAATACTGGGATTACAGGCATGAGCCACCGCACCCGGCCGGAAGTGACTTTGGAACTGGGTAACAGGCAGAGGTTGGAACAATTTGGAGGGCTCAGAACAAGACAGGAAAATGTGGGACAGTTTGGAGCTCCCTGGAGACTTGTTGAATGTCTTTGACGAAAATGCTGATAATGATATGGACGATGAAATTCAGGCTGAGGTGGTTTCAGATGGAGATGAGGAACTTGTTGGGAACTGGAGTAAAGGTGACTCTTGTTATGTTTTATTAAAGTGACTGGCAGCATTTTGCACCTGCCTTAGAGATTTGTGGAACTTTAAACTTGAGAGAGATGATTTAGGGTATCAGGTGGAAGAACTTTCTAAGCAGCAGAGCATTGTAGAGGTAAGCTGGGGGCTGTTAAAGGCATTCAGTTTTATAAGAGAAGCAGAGCATAAAAATTTAGAAAACTTGCAGCCTGCGATAGAAAATGCAATAGAAAAGAAAATCCCATTTTCTGAGGAGAAATTCAAGCTGGCTGTAGAAATGTTTGCATAAGTAACCAGAGCCAAATGTTAATCTCCAAGACAATGAGAAAAATGTCTCCAGGGCATGTCAGAGGTCTTCACAGCAGCCCCTCCCATTACCCAGAGTACTAGGAGGAAAAAGTGGTTTCATGGGCTGGGCCCAGGATTCCCATGCTGTGTGCAGCCTAGGGACTTGGTGCCCTGCATCCTAGCCACTCCAGCCATGGCTGAAAGAGCCCAACATAGAACTTGGGCTGTGGCCTCAGAGGCTGCAAGCCTCAAGCCTTGGCTGCTTTCATGTGGTGTTGAGTCTGCAAGTGCACAGAAGTCAAGAATTAGGGTTTGGGAACCTCCACCTAGATTTCAGAAGATATATGGAAATGCCCAGGCAGAAGTTTGCCACAAGAGCAGGATCCTCAGGGAGAACCTCTTCTAGGGAAGTGCAGAAGGGAAATATGGGGTGGGAGCCCCCACACAGATTCCCTACTGGGGCACTGCCTAGTGGAGCTGTGAGAAGAGGGCCACCATTCTCCAGACCCCAGAATAGTAGATCCACCGACAGCTTGCACCATGCACCTGGAAAGGCCACAGACACTCAATGTCAGCCTGTGAAAGCAGCCAGGAGGGAGGCTGTACCCTGCAAAGCTACAGGGACAGAGCTGCCCAAGACTATGGGAACCTACCTCTTGCTTCAGCGTGACCTGGATATGAGACATGGAGTCAAAGGAGATCATTTTGGAGCTTTAAGATTTGACTGCCCCACTGGATTTCGGACTTGCATGGGGCCTGTAGCCTTTTTGTTTTGGCCAATTTCTCCCATTTGTAATGACCATTATTTACCCAATGCCTATACCCCCATTGTATCTAGGAAGTAACTAACTTGCTTTTGATTTTACAGGCTCATAGGCAGAAGGGACTTACCTTGTCTTAGATGTGGACTTTTGAGTTAATGCTGAAATGAGTTGAGACTTTGGGGGACTGTTGGGAAGGCATGATTGGTTTTGAAATGTGAAGTTATGAGATTTGGGAAGGGCCAGAGTTGGAATGATATGGTTTGGCTCTGTGTCCCCACCCAAATTTCATCTTGTAGCTCCCATAATTCCCATGTGTCATGGGAGGGAACCAGTGGGAGATGATTGAATCACGGGGGTGGGTCTTTTCCATGTTGTTCTCATGATAGTGAATGGATCTCACGAGATCTGATGGTTTTAAAAACGGGAGTTTCTGTGTACAAGCCCTCTCTTTGCCTGCTTCCATCCATGTAAGATGTGACTTGCTCCTCCTTGCCTTCTGCCATGATTGTGAAGCCTCCCCAGTCATGTGGAACTGTAAGTTATCTTTCTTTTGTAAATTGCCTGGTGTCGGGCATGTCTTTATCAGCATTATGAAAACGGACTAATACACATGGTGAATGTGAAAGTGATCACACAGAGAGAGAGAGAGTGGCATTTTGAGAGTGGCATTTCTATGGAAGGCTTTGACTAGCTGATCCAACCAGGGCATTACCTAGTGGCATTAGTTCAGCTACTCTCCCATGTTCTGGTTCCTATGCATGATGGGTCCAGAAACTCTTGTTAATTCCCTGGAGTTGATTTGAATCGGGGAGACTGACTCCCCCAAAACCAAATTTACAAGAAATGAAAGAGTAAATGAGTTAGCTGTTTATTATTTACAATGCAAACCAAAATGGTGATGTTGGCAAAACCAATGTATTCTTTCTTTGTAGGTAGAAGTTAAATGATAAGAGGATGGATTCTTGGTTTGGATGATGGTTTCATGAGTAGTGGTTATTTTTTTTCTCAGTGCTGATCTGTGTTGAAATTTTTGTCACATACTGCTTTTTCTAAAGCAAAAGGAATAAAACAAAAGTGATTTTTAATAAGATAAAGGAAAAGCATTAGTTTTTAAATAAGGAAACATTTGTTCAGTAGTTACTATGTGTTGATTTTGTAGTATAGCTCTCAGAGATTCGGGATTTTTTGGCATGAGTGTATTTTATATCTGCACACACTTATGTATGTATATTAGTACTCCATTTCTCCTTTTTCTTATGAAGATATTTCATTAATATATTATAGTTTGAAAGAGATTCATTTTTATACTTTTGAGTTTTTCCACATTTCACCATTAGGATTTTTATGGTTTTCTTCCAAAGGACACTTAATAAAATTCATCAACACTTATTTTTGGTTAAGATGTGTTTATTAATATTGGAGAAAATATGTAGTGTCTTCTATTTGATTTTAACTTGGAGCAGAATCTCTTTTCCCTTGGGTGAGTATCTGTCAATATTATATGTTCTTTTTTCTTTTTTTTTTTGGAGGGAGAGTCTCGCTCTGTCACCCAGGCTGGAGTGCAGTGGCGCCATCTTGGCTCACTGCAAGCTCCGCCTCCCAGGTTCTTGCCATTCTCCTGCCTCAGCCTCCTGAGTAGCTGGGATTACAGGCGCCCGCAACCACGCCCGGCTAATTATTTGTATTTTTAGTAGAGATGGGGTTTCACCGCTTTAGCCAGGATGGTCTAGATCTCCTGACCTCGTGATCTGCCCGTCTCGGCCTCCCAAAGTGCTGGGATTACAGGCGTGAGCCACCGCGCCCGGCCGTTCATTTTTAATAGCTGTTGAATGGCATAGAGAGACAAAGAACTCTTTTTTTTTTTTTTTTTCCTCCAGGAAATCTATACCTTTGGAAGAATATTGGGAAAAGGGAGCTTTGGAATGGTCATTGAAGCGACAGACAAGGAAACAGAAACGAAGTGGGCAATTAAAAAAGTGAACAAAGAAAAGGTAAGGCTCATTAGCAGCATCCTACTCAGGGCACAGTGTTAGTGCAGGGTGGGTGTGGGCAGTACAGCTTTTCACACTAACACAAGCTGCCTCTCACCCCGAGGTCCCAGCCTGGGCTGATCCCCTAGAGAAGCATGGCATTTCTCTAGCCTCCTGGAAAGGGACTAGTTTCTGAACTCAAGTAGGCAAGTGCTGCCTGGAAAAAACAAATGGAAGGAATAATATAACCAATATAACAAAAAATAGGTAAATTTTACCAGAGTATGCTGAAGATAAAGGCTGGTTCTCAGTATCTGTAGGCACAGGGCTGTGGGCTAGAGATATCTTAGCTAGAAGTGCTGATACTCTGTTGTGATGTTGTTTTGATATACTTTTCTCCTATCCTCTCCTTTCATTTCCTCACTGTTAGCTAATTCTGTTTGTTCATCCTGCCTGCTCTTTCACGTTGAATCACTTTTTGCTTCAACTATCTACGTTATGCTCTTTTATCTGCCGCACTCCTCACTAGATTTCCTCTCCAACTGGGAAACGACTGGGCTTCTCTTGATGATAAAGTCTGAGACCTCAGACTTGACACCTGATCATTTCATCAACCTTTTGCATTTCTGTGCCTGGGAAAAACCAAACAACATTATGGTGTTTTCCCCTAGGATTTGTGATGATAAATATCACATTTAAAAAACAAAATGGTAGGTTTTATGTATTATTTAAAACAAACTGTAGCAAATTACGTACCATTTCTCCCTAATGTTTAGTAAGGTAACATATCAATCTTAATAAAGGGATTAAGAGCCTTGCTAGAAAATTTTAGAATTCTTTAGAACCATAGGTAGCATCCTAAGTGCTACCTGAGATGTTATTTCCTTTGCTTCTTTGGTGTTAGGTAGGGTTAGGGGTTCAGTTTTTGGGTTATGTAACTATCATGCCTACTTGCAACTTTAGGAATTAATAATCTTTCATATTCGTATTTATGTTGAGAGTTTGTGAGACCATAAGATAGTAAGATAAAACTATATAGTCAGTATATGAAGTGAATAGTGTAATATTGTGTTATATTCAGGTCAAGCCATTTGGGAAGGGGAGAGAAACAGAATCGAGATGGATATTAGGAGAAATTGGGGTAACTTTCCATATCTAGTCTAGACAAAAATTCACTCCTCACAGTCACTATTTCTCTTGATCCTTTAGGTCGAGGGTCCCCAGCCCCCAGGTCTTGGACTGGTACCTGTTCATGGCCTGTTAGGAACCAGGCTCCACACCAGGAGGTGAGCAGCAGGCGAGTGAGCATCACCACCTGAGCTCTGCCTCCTGTCATATCAGTGGTGGCATTAGATTCTCATAGGAGCACAAACTCTACTGTGAACTGTATATGTGACGGATCTATGTTGTATGCTCCTTATGAGAATCCAACTAATGCCTGATGCTCAGAGGTAGAACAGTTTCACTCTGAAACCATGCCCTCTCCCGCAACCCTGGTTCATGGAAAAATTGTCTTCCATGAAATCAGTCCCTAGTACCAAAAAGGTCAGGGACTGCTGTTCTAGGTTAACCTATAAATGTGACTTAATCCTTGGGCGGGGCATAGTATGATGGGCAGTGTCCCACCCACTCCTGAGATGCTAAAGGTTGAGAAGGAGAAGTAATTGGAAGCTGGAATGACACTAGGTAAAATTTTAATTAGGCAAAATTTGCCTTATGACTAATCCGTTTCCACTCCCTTAAGAACCGTTATGTATTTTCCCAAATCAGGTGGATGGGAGGTGGAGGAATAGGACCTTTGTTATTCCTTGCAGGGAGACTTTTTATTGGAAATTGTCAGGCCTAAAACTTCCACCTATCAATTTCTTCTTTACTATTCCTTGCACCCAACCCAGACTCTCTCTGCTTTCACCTGGACTGACCCTGACACCCATCAGTCCCAGCAGCTTACCTGGGCTGTGCTGCCGCAAGGTTTCAGGGACAGCCCTCATTACTTAAGCCAAGCTCTTTCTCATGGTTTACTTTCTTTCCACCTCTCTGCTTCTCACCTTATTCAATATATTGATGACCTTCTTCTTTGTAGCCCCTCCTTTGAATCTTCTCAACAAGACACCCTTCTCTTCCTTCAGCATTTATTCTCCAAAGGATATCGGGTATCCCCCTCCAAAGCTCAAATTTCTTTTCCATCCATTACCTACCTTGGCATAATTCTTCATAAAAACACTCATGCTCTCCCTGCCAATTGTGTCCGACTGATCTCTCAAACCCCAACACCTTCTACAAAACAACAACAACTTTCCTTCCTAGGCATGGTTGGATACTTTCAACTTTGGATACCTAGTTTTGCCATCCTAACAAAACCATTATATAAACTCACAAAAGGAAACGTAGCCGACACCATAGATCCTAAATCCATTCCCCACTCCTCTTTCCATTCCTTGAAGACAGCTTTAGAGACTGCCCCCACCCTAGCTCTCCCTGACTCATCCCAGCCCTTTTCATTACACACAGCCGAAGTGCAGGGCTGTGCAGTTGGAATTCTTACACAAGGACCAGGATCGCGTCCTATAGCCTTTCTGTCCAAACAACTTGACCTTAGTGTTTTAGGCTGGCCATCATGTCACCGTGCAGCGGCTGCCGCAGCTCTAATACTTTTAGAGGCCCTCAAAAATCACAGATTATGCTCAACTCACTCCCTACAGTTCTCATAACTTCCAAAATCTATTTTCCTCCTCATGCTTGACACATATACTTTCTGCCCCGCCAGCACCTTCAGCTATACTCACTCTTTGTTGAGTCTCCCACAATTACCATTGTTCCTGGCCCAGACTTCAATCCGGCCTTCCCCATTATTCCTGATACCACACCTGACCCCCATGACTGTGTCTCCCTGATACACCTGACATTCACCCCATTTCCCCATATTTTCTTCTTTCCTGTTCCTCACCCTTTTCACACTTGGTTTATTGATGGCAGTTCCACCAGGCCTAATCACCACACACCAGCAAAGGCAGGCTATGCTATAGTATCTTCCACATCTATCATTGAGGCTACTGCTCTGCCCCCCTCCACTACCTCTGAGCAAGCCGAACTCATTGCCTTAATTCGGGCCCTCACTCTTGTAAAGGGACTATGTGTCAATATTTATACTGACCCCGTATCCTGCACCACCATGCTGTTTTATGAGCTGAAAGGTTTCCTCGCTACACAAGGGTCCTCCATCATTAATGCCTCTTTAATAAAAACTGTTCTCAAGGCTGCTTTACTTCCAAAGGCAGCTGGAGTCATTCACTGCAAGGGCCATCAAAAGGCATCAGATCCCATCGCTCAGGGCAATGCTTATGCTGATAAGGTAGCTAGAGAAGCAGCTAGCATTCCAACTTCAGTCCCTCATGGTCAGTTTTTCTCCTTTTCATCGGTCACTCCCGCTTACTCTTCCACTGAAACTTCCACCTTTCAGTCTCTTCCCACACAAGGCAAATGGTTCTTGGACCAAGGAAAATATCTCCTTCCAGCCTCACAGGCCCATTCTATTCTATCGTCATTTCATAACCTCTTGCATGTAGGTTACAAGCTGCTAGCCCACCTCTTAGAACCTCTCATTTCCTTTCCATCGTGGAAATCTATCCTTAAGGAAATCACTTCTTGGTGTTCCATCTGCTATTCTACTACTCCTCAGGGATTGTTCAGGACCCCTCCCTTCCGTATACATCAAGCTCAGGTATTTGCCCCTGCCCAGGACTGGCAAATTGACTTTACTCACAATGCCTTGAGTCAGGAAACTAAAATACCTCTTGGTCTGGGTAGACACTTTCACTGGATGGGTAGAGGCCTTTCCCACAGGGTCTGAGAAAGCCACCATTCTGTCAGACGTAATTCCTCAGTTTGGCCTTCCCACCTCTGTACAGTCCAATAATGGACCGGCCTTTATTAGTCAAAACATCCAAGCAGTTTCTCAGGCTCTTGGTATTTAGTGGCTCCTGGTTTTACCTCAAACTGCCACCCTTAAGTCTCTCTTTAAGTGTATGGAAGATCTTCAGTGACAAAGTACACTCCAATACTTTGACCCTGATGAAGTCCTGTTCTTTACTTTTATACTCGCTCTTATTCTCATGCCACCCTCTAACCTCTCCCCAGCTATCTCCACCACACTATCAATCTCACTCTCTCCTAGCCGTTTCTAATCCTTCTTTAACAAACAATTGCTGGCTTTACATTTCTCTTTCATCCAAATTCGACAAGGCTCTGACTTTTTCACTAATAAAAAAAAAGGCGGGGGGGACTCTGTATATTTTTAAATGAAGAATGTTGTTTTTACCTAAATCAATCTGGCCTGGTATATGACAACATTTAAAAAAAACCTGAAGGATAGAGCCCAAATACTCACCAACCAAGTAAACAATAACATTGAATCCCCTTGGACACCCTCTAATTGGACGTCCTGCGTACTCCCAATTCTTAGTCCTTTAATACCTATTTTTCTCCTTCTTTTATTTGGACCTTGTATCTTTCATTTAGTTTCTCAATTCATACAAAACCATATCCAGGCCATCACCAATAATTCTATATGACAAATGCTCCTTCTAACAACCCCACAATATCACCCTTTACCCCAAAATCTTTCTTTAGTTGAATCTCTCACACTCTAGGTTCCCACGCTGCCCCTAATCCCACTCGAAGAAGCCCTGAGAAACATTGCCCATTATCTCTCCACACCACCCCCAAAAATTTTCACTGCTCCAACACTTTACCACTATTTTGTTTTATTTTTCTTATTAATATAAGAAGACAGGAATGTCAGGCCTCTGCGCCCAAGCTAAGCCATCATATCCCCAGTGACCTGCATGTGTACATCCAGATGGCCTGAAGCAACTGAAGATCCACAAAAGTGAAAATAGCCTTAACTGATGACATTCCACCATTGTGATTTGTCTCTGCCCCACCCTAACTGATCAATGTACTTAGTAATCTCCCCCACCCTTAAGAAGGTTCTTTATAATCTCCCCCACCCTTGAGAATGTACTTTGTGAGATCCACCTCCTGCCCCCAAAACATTGCTATTAACTCCACCGCCTATCCCAAAACCTCTAAGAACTAATGATAATCCCACCACCCTTTGCTGACTCTCTTTTCGGACTCAACCTGCCTGCACCCAGGTGAAATAAACAGCCATGTTGCTCACACAAAGCCAGTTTGGTGGTCTCTTCACACTGACACATGAGACAAATAAAACCCATAAATGAGGACAATGCTTATCCTCAAATAATGGCAATTTCAAGATCAATAGGGGTGATGATTTGGCAGGGCGGTGTTGGTGAGGGTGGAGAAAGCCCTTCTAGAATTTCTGAGATAGAGGACATTGTAGATAATCGATTACCTACACCCCAAATGAAGTCCTTGTGCTCCTTGGAGTGTTACTGACTTTGCCTTTTGCTCTCTGCCTGGTGAGTGTTAGATGTTAGGAGACACTAACATCTGAAGGCAAGATCTCTCTCTCTTTGTATCTCTGTCTCTCTCTGTCTGTCTCGCTCTCTCTCTTTCCATCTCTCTCTGTTTCTCCCTCAGTTAACCAGGCAGGCCAGGAAATAACACAGTGCAGAGCCAAGTGTAGAATCTCATTGCCTATTATTTTTTCATATATATGTATAATCAAATCAAAACAAGACAACAGCAAAACAAAATAAAAACTTTTTGTTTTTATCTTCCCCAATTTATGTCCTTGGAAGTAGATTTTGTTTTTATTATGCTAACATCAAGGGATCAACATATTTTTAAAGGAAATATCAAAAAGCATATTAAAAGTTGGAGTAATTTTAGTAGTTTTGTGAGGGGACATACCATGTTGTAGCTAAGTTATAGAAACAATTCAAGAAACAGATGTGGCTTGAGGCTAAATTATATGTAACTTAAAATTGGACAAAGGAAAGAAGGGGCATAATTTAATCTGATCATGGGAATAAATGGCATATCATTTGAAAAAGAAACATCTCAAAAAATGTATGAATTCACTTCAAATATGAAGTTGTAGGAAAAGAAGTAGGAAAACATAAAATAACAAACTTTTCTGTCGAGGAATGTAGGAGTGATTTTCATTATGTGAAATCTGTGTTTCTTCATTGATTAAGGCTGGAAGCTCTGCTGTGAAGTTACTTGAACGAGAGGTGAACATTCTGAAAAGTGTAAAACATGAACACATCATACATCTGGAACAAGTATTTGAAACGCCAAAGGTAAAGCTCTATTAGGTGCTGCATTTTGAAAGTTGTTATTATTACAAAATGAATACCATTCCATTCTGAAGTAATCCCTTTGGGGCACAGTTGCTTATGTCCTTGGCATGAATCTGTCATTGGAGATTGATGAGAACATTCTGGAGGACTTTTATTATTGATTGTATAATTAGATGTCTGATGATTAGATTGATGTCTTCGGTAATATGTTTTGGGTGGCATGTTGAAAACAAATGTTTAAAATTACAGCAACTTCATACACAACCAAACAGTGATTAAAACTTTCTTAGAGGTACCTTTCCTTTTGCTTTGATCCTTAGTTTCTCCATTAAAGTTTATTGGAATAGTTTCAGAATTTTGCAAAGTTAACTACATAATCAAATTGGTATGAGTATATTTTTCACTATAGTTTGTAGGAGATATTTTTTTCACCTATGTCTTACTAATGTGTTTTATCTTCATATTTCCCTAGATGTTATCATTCTCTTTACCTGTAATTTTTATTTAGAGTTGTTCAGAAGCCTGGATTATTCGCCATTCTGCCTCCAGATTGTTTAATGCTTGTGGGCTTGGGTGTTTTCTCTTAGAAGAGTAATAATGTATGGATTAGGCATAAGAACTCTGGAATCATATTGCCTGTGCATTTGAATCCTGTCTCCACCACTTCTTAGTTATCCATGAGAACATGGACAAGTTATTCAACTTGCCCATATCACAGTTCCCTCGTCTCATTAAATGGTAGCTATTGTTCTCTGTCTCCTAGGCCAGTCTCTAAGGTAGTAATAGTCAATTTGGGTTGTACATTATGCTTGATTCATTAGGGGTGCTTGATAACAATTAAAGACCACAGTTATCCTTTGTGAGAGCAGTATATGGCAATGATGCCCAAAGTCTCTGCCCTTTTCAGTCTTAGAGTTGTGATTTCTTTTATCCCCAAATCTTCTTAGAATAGTTGTATTCATTATCATCAGTTTTAAGCCATTTGATAATAATGTGCCTTGATCATTTTCTTCATGTTTTTGTGTGTGTGTGTGTTTGGGGTTCAGGTATCTGTGAGTTTATGGTTTTCATCAAATTTAGGAAATTGGGGGCTACTATTTCCTCACATTTGTATTTGCCTTCCCCTCACCCCACTTTGTGGTCTCCAAGCTAGATTGCTTGATATTGTCCACAGTTCACTGATGCTCTGTTCATTTTTTAAAACATTTTTTATCTCCTTGTTTCATTTTGTATAGTTTCTGTTGTTGTCTTCAAATTCAGTAATCTCTCTCTGTGTAGCGTTGTCTGTGTCGTTAATCTCTTCCAGTGGAAATACGATTTGGTTTTTAATATATATATATATTTCATGTGTCTACTTCACATGCTCAGTCTTCTTGAATAGAGTTATAATAACTATTTTCATGTCCTTTTCTACTAATTTTATCATGGGTGTCATTTCTAGGTCAGTTTCAATTTATTGGGGTTTTTTTTCCCCCTTCATTATGGGTTCTACTTTCCTGCTGCTTTATATGCCTATTAATTTTTGGCCAGATGCCAGATGTTGTGAATTTTACCTTGTTAGATGCTAGATATTTTAATATTCTAATGATTATTCTTAAGCTTTATTCTAGGATATAGTTAAGTCACTTGGAAACAGTTTGATACTTTTTGAAGCTTGCTTTAAGATTCGTTAGGTGGCACCAAAGCAACCTTTAGGAATAATTTTTTCCTGTTACTGAGGGGCTCTCCCCAGTGCTCCATGAATTACGAGGTTTACCTCCGGCTCGTGGGAGCACAACAGTTCCTGGCTGTGTGTAAGCTCCAGTGATTGTTCCCTCTGTCCCTTTTGCGTATTTTCCCCCCAGCTTTGGGTAGTTTCCTCATACACATGTGTTGATTCATACTCTCCTGAAGAATTGAGGGGGTCCTCTGCAAATCTCTGGAGATTTCTCTCTGTACAGCATTCTCCTCTTTGATGCTCTGTCCTGTGAACTTTAGTTGTCTTGGCCTTCCTGGACTTCCGGCCCCGTGCCCTCTATTCGTGGAGACTGCTAGACTCTGCTTGGATTCCCTCTCCCTGTTCTGTGGTCCGGAAACTCTCTAGACAGCAAGCTAGAATAATCATGGGGACTGCCTCATGTGTTTTCTCTCTCTCAGGAATAACTACCCTATGCTGGCTGATGTTTAATGTCTAAAAATTAGTTTTATATATTTGCCCAGTTCTTAAGTTGTTTCAGGTGGGAAGATAAGTCTGGTCTTTGTTACTCCATTATGAACACAAGCGGGAGTCTAAACCTAGAATAAGTTTGAAGGCAGAGGAAACCATCGTTTGTGATTTTTCCAGTGCATTGCTTTCCAAACTTAATTCATGTAGGTCAGGTCTGACCCTTTCTGCCTCATAAACACACATAAGCATGTAGACCTTCTATTGAAGCCATCTGAAGTACTAATAGAAATTGCCACCTGATTGGTTGTGCCATGGTACGGATCATCCAGCCTGACTATGCTATGGTTTCTTGTGAGTCTAAATGTTCTCCAGGTCTACACAATTGTTTCTAATAATTATAAAACAGTTATAACTTATATAACTTTGACCAACTTATATATTTAAAATTGACATCAATTTATATTTCAAGTACTGCTAATCCAACCTTTCCTTCCAAATAGTTCACTTATCATTTTATGTACCAGTGAACTGTACAGTCTTGTCAATGGAAAAAATATGGTCCAGTTCAAAAGCTTATTTATGTGTTAGATTTTATAGTTACTTTTGAAATTCTAAAACTGCCTGAGATTCAGTGAATCTGAATTGTGCTATAGGAAGAAAGGATGTTAACCTTCGCTTTCTGTTTTCGTACTTACTGATTGAACACAGAAGTTGCACTAACAGTGCTTATAAGAACAAAATCAGACCTCAAGATCTTAAAAACAACAAAAATCTAGCAGCACAGGTTAGAATGGAGACATAAAGGGTACCCTGTGTTTGAATAGAAATGTGTATGGAAAAGACTTTTTAGTTGACTATGAATCTTTTTTGACTCAATAGATGACTTGGCTGTCGGAATACCTAAAGTGATCTTAATATGCCCCTATATGAACAGCAGATATGGAATTTATATGCCCCTACATGAACAGCAAATATGAAATAGGCATTTCAGCTATGACTTCTTACCACTCACACCCAATTAGTCACTAAGTCCCACTGTTTCTTTCTTGTTGGTATTTTTAAATCTTTTCATTTTCCTCCTTCTGGTCTTGATTCTATGCCTCACATCTACCCTCTATAAACAAAAGTCAGCATACTACAGTTTGAGAGCCACATTGGGTCTGCTGCCTTTTTTTTTTTTTTTTAAGACCCATAAACTAAGTTTCTACATTTCCAAATGGTTGCAAAAGTGTAAAAGAGTGATATTTCATGACATGTAAAAATTCTATAAACCTGAAATTTTCAAGTCTAGAAGTAAAGCTTTGTTGTGTTGTTTATGGCTGCTTTCTCCTGCTATAGCAACAGCACTGAGTAGTTGTGAAAGAGACTCCATGGCCTGCAAAGCCAATAATATTTGCTATTGGGTCTGCTCTCTATAGCAAAGGTTTGTTGAGCCCTGTTCTGCATTACTGCTAGAGTGTTCATTTAGAAATGCACAATTGGTAATATCATACACGTGCACCCCCGCAACCTTGGCACTAGCTTAAAATTCTTCAGTGGCTCCTTATTGCGTATAGGAAAAAAAATCCGTACTCCTTACCGTGATATCCAGAACTCTTTACAACCCGGCCCAAACCTGTTCTTTCTAGCCTCACTCCTCACCACTTCATTCTTCTCCACCCTACCAAGTTCTCCATGTTATTAACACAGATTATTCTTTTAACAGCCAGTGCTGTTTCAAGCTTTGGAGTCTTTCTAAATACCATGTGCTCTGTCTATTCTTTCCCACATTCTCTATCTATGAATCCCTATTCAGACATCCAGATCTGGCCTTAATATTTCTTCTCCAGGGGCATTCTTTAGACAGAGGCTGCCCCCTTCTGTAACTCCATGGCATTTGGGACCATTAGCACTTATCTCATGATACTGTAATGATAACTCTTTGTGAGCTTCTTGGGGGTAAAGACTGTGTCTTTACCTTTTTGTTTCTCTAGTATCCACTGTGGTATCTTGTACATAATAGATAATACTTTTCAATGAATAAATTAATGATTATGACTGTGATTATATATGTGATATATAACATTTTAAACATCCCTAGATATATAATTTGATCTCTCTCTCTTATATATATATAATGTCAGAAAATGTACCTTGTGATGGAGCTTTGTGAGGATGGAGAACTCAAAGAAATTCTGGATAGGAAAGGGCATTTCTCAGAGAATGAGACAAGGTGGATCATTCAAAGTCTCGCATCAGCTATAGCATATCTTCACAATAATGGTAAGAAGAGGGTTATCCAGCTCATTGACCCCATGAATACTGATGTCACTTTTGTTTAAGGGTAATTGTATTCCAGATTCATAGTCATAAATAACACCTACTAATATCGAAGATTTAATTTTTTAGTTAAAAAATTGTTTCCTTTTTAACTTTCTTTCTAGATATGTTTTAATTAGAAACAAGGCAGGTATACAATACATTTTATATGAACGAAGATGAAATTATGAACATTTTTTATTCAACAGTTTGAAGAGCGGCTAATGTTACAAAATCAAAGGTAGACAAATCAATGGTAAAGGTGAAGTTCCCAAAAACATCTGTTAATCATAACATTAGAATCTGTATGTTCTAGGCATTTTTTTTTTGTCTTTTTAGACTTTATTTTAGAGCAGTTTTAGATTCACAGTAAAACTGAGCAGAAGGTAGAGAGATTTTCTATATACTCCCCTGCTCCCACACATGCACAACCTGCCCACTATCAGAATTCCCCACTAGAGTGATATATTGCATTGACATATCATTGTCACCCGAAGTGAGCTTATATTAGGATTCACTCTTGGGGTTTTGACAAATGCGTAATGTCATTTATCCACCATTATAGTATCATAGAGAGTGGTTTCATGGTACTTTAAAAACTACATTTAAAAATGATTCGAATTGCCTTACTGTTCTTAGGTGTTACTGCTGCTGCTCCTCCCCCCGTTTTTTTCCCTTCAAGGTTAGTTTGGCTTACATGTGACTTTAGAACCTTCTCATTTTACAGATGAACAAAAACTTTGTTCCAGAGAAGTGCAGTAACATGGTTTGGTGTGCCAGAGCTGGTACTGGAACCCAGGGGTTCATTCAGCAGATAGTTCCCGAGCACCTCCTGCACTGAGATTGGTCCTGGATTACAAAGATTAAAAGACAAGGTCCCTGCCCTCCAAGGAACTTGGGCTGGTGGGAGATTGAGTATTGAAAACAAGTTGTAATTCAGTGTGATAATCTCCCCAATGGAAAGCCATATAAAGCACAAGGATTACAGGAGTCTAGGTACCTCATTTGGCTTGGAAAGTCAGGAAAGAATTCACTGAAGGAGCAGTATTTGATCTGAGGAATACAAACTCAGAAAAAAATAAAAAAGGCAGGCCTTCCAGGCAGAGGGAAACGATTTTTTCAAGGGTTTAATATTAGGCTATTGTCAGTCCTTCCCTATTAAGCTATAAATTCAGTATAATTCCAAATAAAATCTTAGCAACATTTTTCATGGAACTTGATAAGATTATTCTCAAATGGGTAAAAAGTAGCCAACAATGAGAAAGAAAAACAATGGAGGCAGCAGGGAGATCTGCCCTGGCAAGGATGAAGGCATAATGATATGTTTGTTAAAGCTGTGTGGTATTTATGTAAAAAGAGACAAGAAGAGCAATGGAAACAATAAAAATTCCAAAAACAAAGCCCAGGAATTGTGTAAGGGAGCTGTGAATGACTAGGTGTAATTGCCAGTTCAGGACTCATTCAATACATTCCCCTGGCAATTATGTGTATAACTTTTTTTTTTTTTTTTTGAGACAGAGTCTTGCTCTGTCACCCAGACTGGAGCACAGTGACATGATCTTGGCTCACTGCATTCTGTGCCTCCCAGGCTCACGCTCTTCTCCTGCCTCAGCCTCCTGAGTAGCTGGGACTACAGGTGCCTGCCACCATGCCTGGCTAATTTTTTGTATTTTTAGTAGAAACGGGGTTTCACCATGTTAACCAGGATGGTCTCGATCTCCTGACCTCGTGATCCACCTGCCTCGGCCTCCCAAAGTGCTGGGATTACAGGCGTGAGCCACCGCGCCTGGCCATGTATAACTTTTTAAGTCTAGGGAAATGACTGCAATGGATATGAACTGAATTAATTATTTTCAAAGGAAGTGTTTGGTATGTGGTTATTTGTATGTACATAAAAATTGTACCTGAGCTCTGACATGTTCAACTGGAGATTTTGTGTCTCAAGGGTTTTTGTTTGTTTGGTTTTTATTTTACTACATAAAGAGTAGGAAAATGTGTGTTGATGTTGTAGAAAAATATACTGAAATAAGTATAGTTTGTATATATGTAGCCAAGTTACAGTGTGTTAAAATGTTTATGCTGACAGTAACATATGCTTAGAAGTAAAGAAGTAATCCTCTATTTGAAGACCTAAGGATGTGGGAAACCTGACTGGGTTTGTGACTAGGATGATCTCCCTGCTCCTGGGAATACTTAAGCCTGGGTACGATCCTCCTTCACAGTCCCCAGGCCACTCATCTTGAGGAGCAGCCAGTTGGGGCCACAGGGAAATAGGTAGAGGTGAGGGAGTCAAAGAAAATGGCTCCTTAAGGTTAGAAATGTGGAGGAAGGGTTTATAAATAAGAGAATAGAACAGGACAGACTATGCTTGGCCCTCGAATTTTTTAACAGTGGATATTAATTTGTCAAATATATTTATTCTATATGTGTCTCTCCTGTTTCTCCATTATTTCATTTGATTTGTGGTTTATTTTCTTGGTAGATATTGTACATAGAGATCTGAAACTGGAAAATATAATGGTTAAAAGCAGCCTTACTGATGATAACAATGAAATAAACTTAAACATAAAGGTAAGATTAGCAATGGTGGTAAATATTTGCCTATAAACAGTTTGATAGCAAAGTGGCAAAGTACATCCTCTTTTTAGATGCATTTTGCTAGCTTTTGAGCAGCCAGAAAATAAGTGGTTTGTGTTAAAAAATAAAAATTTCACAAGAGGTTGTAACTGATAAGAATAATTTTGCAAGTTAAATGGAGTTATTGAATGTGTTTTTAAAGTCATATTCATTTGAATAATTCTAAGTCATTAGTTAATAGCAAGCAAACAGATACTCTGAATTCTAATTAATTTCAAAATTATGCCTGGTAATTTGATGTAAATGTGTTACAGATTTAGAGAAAAGCACACCTTGCCTATGCTTTTAATACTAAATTAATTCTAAAGTCTGTATTTCTTATTGAAAATTTTCCTGTGTATTAATATTTATGTCCTCAGTACAATTAATGTGCCAAGTGTTTATTCTTGAAGATTTTATTCAAATTAAGTGTTCCCTAATGTCAAATAAATGCTAGGATACATTATTTAGCACCATTATAGTGGCTGCTTTCAAAATGTATAAATGTGTTAATTTAGGAATAAAATGTTATCTGTGAGTAACTCACTCTGTTGCAGAAGCTAAGTCCTATGTAATAGAAATAGGTTTAATAGCATTGTTGGTTTACCCAAGTAAATGTTCTTGAACAGTTCCGTTGTAAACTCTATGAAGGCAGGGATTGTGCATGTCTTATTCACTTAGTACCTGAAGTAGTGCCTGGAACATAGTATGTGTTCACTTAACATTTGGTGAATGAAGGAGTAGATGCTCTCCAAATAACTAAGTTGGATTGTGAAACCTTTTGTATATTTCGTGTGTCTGGATGGATTTTCCATAGAGAAAGATAGGTATCATATGCTCCAAATGAGATATATATGAAAACTAATGGAGAAATTGATTCATCTATTGAGAAAAATAGTGATATCACATGTAAACAGGAGCATTTTCTTACTCCATAAGGCACTGGAAACTTTGCATTCATTATCTCTGGACAAAGAGCCTATATTTGGTTACTTAATAAACGTGTCTGTTTTTCTGCTTTCAATCTAAGGGTGTTCCAACTTGGGAGATAATTCCAAAGGCACATACTGAATATTTAATAACTAAATGTTTAATGACCAAGATTTAGAACTGAGCATAAGGCCTACAGTTGTAGCACGAGGCCACCAGTGTATTTGTAGTTAATACTTTGTTGTTGTGGTTTTCTTTCCTGTTAATATGCTTGTCGTAGTTTTTAATAGTGTAGTAATTGTTTTAATTAGTATACTCTAGAAACACAAAGGAAAAATAGTAAAGAAAAGATAGTGTTTACCAATTATAAATAATTATAAAAAAGGGGAGTTTCGGTGAGTGCTGATAGGGATAATTATTTGCATTTGTAACAGTGCTTTAAACTGGAATATAACTTGATTATCAGAAACATAGATAATATGTTAAAGCCAGAATGTATTTTACAATGAAAGAACTTTAAAAAACAAAACAAAACCTTTTTTATATGAAAAAAGTTAAATGCTTCAAAATACAACTTCCCATGTTAGACTGGTAAATTTAATCAGACGGCAAGAACTGTTAAATCACGGTATTCTCTCAAGATTTGAGAATGCAAGCTTCTCTTTACCCAGTTTCTTCTCTATACAGAGAGGTGGGTGGGGAAGGAAAAGCAAAATTTTTATTAATCATTCAATTAAAGTCCTCCCACCCCCAAGAACCCCAGAATTCAATGCAAGTTCAATGTGAAGTCTTATCTTCAGAATGAGTGAGCTCTAGAACAGGAAAACAGGTGACTGTGCTTGAATTTCTTCTCCTAGGTGACTGATTTTGGCTTAGCGGTGAAGAAGCAAAGTAGGAGTGAAGCCATGCTGCAGGCCACATGTGGGACTCCTATCTATATGGGTAAGTTAGTAGACTTAAAATGAATTTTTGTTTTGAGACAGGATCATGCTCTGTTGCCCAGGCTGGAGTGCAGTGGCATGATCTTGGCTCACTGCAACCTTGACCTGGGCTCAGGCCATCCTCCCACCTCAGCCTCTCAAGTAGCTAGGACCACAGGTGTATGCCACCACACCTGGCTAGTTATTATATTTGTTTTTAAGAGAGAGTAGCCTCACTGTGTTGCCCAGGATGGTCTCAAACTCCTGGACTCACGCGATCCCTCCAGCCTCTGCTTTCCCAAGTGTTGGGATTACAGGTGTGAGACACTGCACCAGACTTGATTCTTTTATATGTAAAAAAGTAGAACAACCAGTATGGATTACAGCTTGAACAATTTTATTTTGCCATCATGATATGATGACCCATGATTTAGGCTACTTTTTCTTTTCTTGGGTCAAGCAATTTCACTTGTTTTAGTATTTTACTTATAGTTCCTATCTGTAAAAATTTTAAAAATTTTTGTTGTTTCTCTGGGCTCTTCTTAAAGTTGTTTATATCTCTTAGATAATCATACCTCAAACTTAATTATTACTTTTGTTAACTCATGTTAAAATCATGTACATGTTTTGCTTCTTTGCTTTTTTTTTTTTTTTTTTGGTTTCGAAACAGAGTCTTGCTCTGTTGCCCAGGCTGGAGTGTGGTGGTGCAGTTTGGGCTCACTGCAACCTCCACCTCCTGGGTTGAAGCAAATCAGGGTTGATATTAATAATACCTAGTTCTTAGGTTGTTTTTTTTCTTCTTCTTCTTCTTCTTCTTTTTTTTTTTTTTTTTTTTTTTTGTTTCGAAACAGAGTCTTGCTCTGTTGCCCAGGCTGGAGTGTGGTGGTGCAGTTTGGGCTCACTGCAACCTCCACCTCCTGGGTTGAAGCAATTCTCGTGCCTCAGCCTCCAGAGTAGCTGGGATTACAGGCACCTGCCACCATGCCTGGCTAATTTTTGTATTTTTAGTAGAGACAGTTTTTGCCATGTTGGCAAGGCTGGTCTCAAACTCCTGACTTCAAGTGATTTCGCCTGCCTTGGCCTCCCAGTGTTGAGATTACAGGCATAAGCCACCATGCCCAGCCCTCTTTGCATTTTTTTATCCAGTTTAATCGCCATCAAACAGTTTTTCATGGAGTACTGATTAAATATATTTTGTAAAGAAAGCAGCAGTTTCCTGTTTTTCTAAATGTGAGTTTTAACAGCTTTATTGAAGTTTAATTTAAATACCATAAAATATATTTGTGCATCCTTTACAATGTAAGATATGTTTTTGTTTTACAATAAAAATACAGTGATTTTTCATACATCCACAGAGTTGTGCAACCATCACCACAATCCAGTTTCAAAACAAATCTACTCCAAAAAGTTCCCTCAGCCTGTTTATACTCAATCTTATTCCTATCCCAGCCCCAGATAGCCACTAATCACTCTAGATTTGCCTTTTTGTCTCTGTAAATGTGCCTTTTTTTTTTTTTTTTTTTGGCCTTTTCTGGACATTTCATATAAATGGAATCATACAACATGTGGTCTTTTACATTTGGCTTGCTTTCACCTGGCATATGTTTTTGAGGTACGTTCATGTTGTGGCATGTATCTGTAGTCTGCTCCTATATATTGCTGAATAGTTGTCCATTGCGTGGATATAACACAGTTCGTTTATCTGCTTAGCAGCTGACGCACATGTGGATTTTTACCAGTTTGTGGCTATTATGAATAATGCTGCTATGAACATTGATGTACAGGTCTTTGTGAGGATATGTGGTTTCATTTAGAAGTGTTTTTAGAATTAGCTACCTAAGAGTGAAATTGTTAGATCATATGTTAAGTTTATGTTTAACTTTTTATGAAATTGCCAAACTCTTTTACAGAATGACCATTACCTTCCCACCGCAATTTGTGAGGGTTCCAGTTTCTCCATATCTTCGACAATTCTTGATATTACCTATTTTTAAATTATACCATTCTAGTCCCTAGGACTAGTATCTTAGGAAGTGGTATCTTATTGTAGGAAGTGGTATCTTATTGTGATTTTTAATTTGCATTTTCCTAATGATTAATGACATTGAGCATCTTTCATGTGCTTACTAGTCATTCATATATCTTTTCTGGTGAAGTGTCTATTTTAATCTGTACTATTGAGATAATCATATTTTTCTCTTTAAATTTATTAATGAAGTAATTACAGTAATAGATTTTAGAATGCTGAACCATCCTTGCACATTTAAATTCAACCTCACATGGTTTAATATACTACAGTATTCAACTTTGTCACCACTTTTATTTAGGAACTTTGACTGTAGCTTTTCTTCTTTTGTGCTTCCTTTGTCTTTTCTGATGTTAGGGTTATGCTGACCTCATTTAAAAAATAATTTTTTAACTTCTTATATGATTATGAACTTTTTAAATTATTATACTTTAAGTTCTGGGATACATATGCAGAACGTGAAGGTTTGTTACATAGGTATACATGTGCCATGGTGGTTTGCTGCACCCATCAACCCATCATCTACATTAGGTATTTCTCCTAATGCTATCCCTCCTCTAGCCCCCAACCCCCACACAGTCCCCAGTGTGTGATGTTCCCCTCCCTGTGTCCATGTGTTCTCATTGTTCAGCTCCCACTTATGAGTGAGAACATGCAGTGTTTGGTTTTCTGTTCCTGTGTTCACTTTGCTGAGAATGATGGTTTTCAGCTTCATCCATGTCCCTGCAAAGGACATGAACTCATCCTTTTTTATGGCTGCATAGTATTCCATGGTGTGTATGTGCCACATTTTCTTTATCCAGTCTGTCATTGATGGGCATTTGGGTTGGTTCCAAGTCTTTGCTATTGTGAACCATGCCACAGTAAACATAAGTGTGCATATGTCTTTATAGCAGAATGATTTATAATCCTTTGGGTATATACCCAGTAATGGGATTGCTAGGTCAAATGATATTTCTGGTTCTAGATCCTTGAGGAATCGCCACACTGTCTTCCACAATGGTTGAACTAATTGACACTCCTGCAACAGTGTAAAAGCATTCCTATTTCTCCACATCCTCTCCAGCATCTGTTGTTTCCTGACTTTTTAATGAACGCCATTCTTACTGGTATGAGATGGTATCTCTTTATGGTTATGATTTGCATTTCTCTAATGACCAGTGATGATGAGCATTTTTTTTCACATGTTTGTTGGCTGCATAAATGTCTTCTTTTGAAAAGTGTCTGTTCATATCCTTTGCTCACTTTTTGATGGGGTTGTTCTTTTCTTGTAAATTTAAGTTCTTTGTAGATTCTGGATATTAGCCCTTTGTTAGATGGATAGATTGCAAAAATTTTCTCCCATTCTGTAGGTTGCCTGTTCACTCTAATGATAGTTTCTTTGTGCAGAAGCTCTTTAGTTTAATAGATCCCATTTGTAAAATTTGGCTTTTGTTGCCATTGCTTTTGGTGTTTTAGTAATGAAGTCTTTGCCCATGCCTATGTCCTGAATGGTGTTGCCTAGGTTTTCTTCCAGGGTTTTTATGGTTTTAGGTCTTACGTTTAAGTCTTTAATCCATCTTGAGTTAATTTTTGTGTAAGGTGTAAGGAAGGAGTCCATTTTCAGTTTTCTGCAAATGGCTAGCTAGTTTTCCCAACACCATTTATTAAATAGGGAATCCTTTTCTCATTGTTTGTTTCTGTCAGGTTTGTCAAAGATCAGATGGTTGTAGATGTGTGGGGTTATTTCTGAGGCCTCTGTTCATTCCTTTGGTCTATATATCTGTTTTGGTACCAGTACCATGCTCTTTTGGTTACTGTAGACTTGTAGTATAGTTTGAAGTCAGGTAGCATGATGCCTCCAGCTTTGCAGAACTGAAGGAGATAGGGACAGGAAAAACCCTTCATACAATCAATGAATCCAGGAGCTGGTTTATTGAAAAGATTAACAAAATAGATAGGCTGCTAGCCAGACTAATAAAGAAAAAAGAGAGAAGAATCAAATAGACACAATAAAAAATGATAAAGGGGATATCAGCACTGATCCCACAGAAATACAAACTACCATCAGAGAATACTATAAATACCTCTACACAAATAAACTAGAAAATCTAAAAGAAATGGATAAATTTCTGGACACATACGCCCTCCCAAGACTAAACCAGGAAGAAGTCGAATCCTTGAATAGACCAATAACAAATTCTGAAATTGAGGCAATAATTAATAGCCTACCAACCAAAAAAAGCCCAGGACCAGACAGATTCACAGCCGAATTCTACCAGAGGTACAAAGAGGAGCTGGTACCATTCCTTCTGAAACTATTCCAAACAATAGAAAAAGAGAGAATCCTCCCTAACTCATTTTATGAGGCCAACATCATCCTGATACCAAAACCTGACAGAGACACAACAAAAAAAGAAAATTTCAGCCCAGTATCCCTGATGAATAGTGATGCGAAAATCCTCAATAAAATACTGGCAAAGTGAATCCAGCAGTACATCAAAAAGCTTATCCACCACAATCAAGTCAGCTTCAACCCTGGGATGCAAGGCTGGTTCAACATACACAAATCAGTAAACGTAATCCATCACATAAATAGAAGCAATGACAAAAACCACATGATTATCTCAATAGATGCAGAAAAGGCCTTCAATAAAATTCAGCACCCCTTCATGCTAAAAACTCTCAATAAACTAGGTATTGATGGAACGTATCTCAAAAGTGCTATTTATGACACACCCACAGCCAATATCACACTGAATGGGCAAAGGCTGGAAGCATTCCCTTTGAAAACCTGCACAAGACAGGGATGCCCTCTCTCACCACTCCTATTCAACAAAGTATTGGAAGTTCTGGCCAGGGCAGTCAGGCAAGAGAAATAAATAAAGGGTATTCAAATAGGAAGAGAGGAAGTCAAATTGTCCCTGTTTGCAGATGACGTGATTGTATATTTAGAAAACCCCATCGTCTAAGCCCCACATCTCCTTAAGCTGATAAGCAACTTCAGCAAAGTCTCAGGATACAAAATCAATGTGCAAAAATGACAAGCATTCCTATATACCAATAATAGACAATCAGGGAGCCAAATCATGAGTGAACTCCCATTCACAATTGCTACAAAGAGAATCAAATATCTAGGAATCCAACTTACAAGGGATGTAAAGGACCTCTTCAAGGAGAACTACAAACCACTGCTCAGTGAAATAAAAGAAGACACAAACAAATGGAAGCACATTCCATGCTCATGGATAGGAAGAATCAATATTGTGAAAATGGCCATACTGTCCAAAGTAATTTATAGATTCCATGCTATCCCCATCAAGCTACCATTGGCTTTCTTCACAGAATTAGAAAAAACTACTTTAAATTTCATATGGAACCATAAAATGAACCTTTTAGATACTAAAAATTATCTAATAACAGTTTGAAATTTCCTCTTAAATTTTTTGGTTCTGCTACTTTTGGGGGGATAAAGTTTCTATTATATTTTCAATTTATACTAAATTACCCAAGTTTTCTACATTTTCTTGAATCATTTTGATAATTTATGTTTTTCTAGAAAATTGTTTCTTTTATTGAGATTTTAAGTTTCACTGGCATAAGTATGCATATTATGTTTACTTATAATTTTCATATTCTCTTGTGTACCTGCAGTTATATCCTCCTATAACTTCAATATGCACATATTATCAGCTTTTATCACAGTTTCTATATATGTAAATATAATAGGAATTATGTCACTCATTTCTAAAAAATTTTTTGAGGACCTACTTCGTGTCAGACATTGTTCTAGGTATTAAAAATATAACAGTGAACAAAACATAAAAATGTTTTGCCTTCATAGAACTTAACATTCTTGTGGCACAAACATTAAACAAGATTTTTATAAATCTGATGTTTTAGAGCAAAGTGCTGAGTACAAAAAAATAGGAAGGGTGATAGGAAGTGTTTAGATGACAATAATTTTTTTTATCAGGTTGACATGATAAGTAAATGAGAAAATATATGTAAAGTGCTTAGCAGCGTCTAGCATTTAGGCCTGAATTTTAGCTCTTTATAATAATACTAATAACTTTATCTAAATCAAATTTGTTAGTGGTTAGGACAGTTAGTAAATAATAAGTAGAGCTCCCAATGGGCTTTTCAAGAACCAGCTCATATCTAATTGTTATTTGGTTTGCTTTTTCATTAATTTCTGCTTTTACTTTTCTGAATTCCTTCTTTGTGCTTTATTTTGGTTTGTTTGTTTATTTTATTTTTTTTTTTGAGACAGGGCCTCCCTCTGTTGCTTAGGCTGGAGTGCAATGCTGCAGTCACGGCTTACTGCAGCCTCAGCCTCCTAGGTTCAAGCGTTCCTCCCACCTCAGCCTCCCCAGGAGCCAGGAGCACAGGCATGTGCCACCATTCCCAGATAACTTTTTTCTTTTTAATTTTTAGCAGAGACAAGGTCTCACTATGTTGCCCCAGCTGATCTCAAACTCCTGGATTCAGGCGATCCTCCTGCGTTGGCCTGCCAAAGTGCTGGGATTATAGACATGAGCCACTGTGGCTGGTGGTTTGTTTTTTATTATAACTTCCTAAGTTGAATACATACTTATTATCAGGCTTATTTTCTATGAAATTCATTGAAGACTGTATATTTTCCTCTGAGTACCTTGACTTTTTGTTTTTTGTCATACAGTGTTGTGTGATTCATCTCTTGATATACTATAATTTTAATTTTAGTCTTCTTTAATTGAAAAATTATTTAGAAGTGTTTTTAGAATTTTTACAGGTGGTTGAGATGTGTTTGAAACTCATGAGAATGCATGTTAGTTGTCCTAGCCTTTTGGTTTATCTGTCTGGTTTTCTTTATTGTGGTAGGTGACTGTGTCTTAAAGGTTTTCAACTTTTAGGAATTTTCTTTGTGACCAAACACATGATCAGCTTTTGCAAATGATGCATTGGATATTTTAAAAATATGTATGTATACCTGGTTTGTTGAGCATAAAAATTTCTCTGTGTGCTTATTAAATCAAATGTGATTTTTTTTGTGATTCAGATCTTCCATATTGTTGGTGTATCTTTGCTTGCCACTTCTGTTGATCGCTAACAGAGTCATTCACCAAGATAGGTCTTTGACACATTGTTTTTGTACTTTGAGCAGATTTTTAAAAATCAGCTTTTTAGGAATATAATTTACCCGCAATAAGATGCACAAATTTTAAGTTTTGAATCACTACCCCATCATGTTCAAGTCATAGAACATTTCTGCCACCCCAGAAAGTTCCTTTGTGTCCCTTTCAGTCAATCCCCCACCCATAACCACTGATGATTTCTATTGCCACAGCTCAGTTTTGCATATCTAGAAGTTTATCTAAATTGAATCATACAGTACATACTCTTTTGTGTTTGTCTTCTTCTTTTGTCGTACGCCATGATTTTGAGACTTATCCATGTTGTTGTATCAGTAGTTTATTCATTTTTATTACTGAAGAGTATACCTAATTCATTGCTTTTTTTGTCTGCTAGATGCATAAAGTTTTGAAATTGTTTTATCTTATTTGGGAAAAGGCTACTTTAGATTCTGTTCATATCCCCCTGTTGGCAAAAGACATCTGGTCTGTAGTTACATGGGGAAAATATATTCAAGCACCCTGAGTTTTATGCCTCCTTATTAGTTGTCTACACTGATAACAAGTGAGAGAACAAGAGAGAAGACAGATGGTTTGTGGAGTTTTGCTGACTTCCTAAATGGCTTCTTGGCAGTTACTCTGGCTTCTGCATCCCTATGAGGGCTGGGATGATGGTGCAAATTGAAATGCCCTTGATAATTAAGATGACTCTGAAGGAGCCAGGAATTCCTGTCCCCTGCTGTGTGCTGCACCAGTGTGGAAATCCTTCATTGAATCCAGTCACAGAATTTGCCCTTGTCATACATGTGTGGCCATAGAGCAACTGGAACTTTAAAAATTCCATATTTAAAGATTTTAAGTAGAGTTAATGAATACAAATAGCAGCTTAAAGGAAAATATTAGTTAATTTTCAATTATTTGGAGACAGATTGCTCAGTGTTAGTCATCTGTACCTTCTTTCTTCTGTTTAATCTTTTGACCCCTTTTTGTTGCCTTTCATTTCTTTAACACTAGGCAGAGGAAAAAGGAGAAAATGAAATTCCATTTGTTTTAGTAGTTATCAAAAAGTGTGTGTGTGTGTGTGTGTGTGTGTGTGTGTGTATGTATGTAGGTGGGAAAGATTGAAACTTTTCTAAAATAAAAACGCACCTTTTGCATAGGAGGCACTCTGCAGCTGTGTAACTTTAGGCAAGTCACTTAATATATCGGAAACTTAGTTTCCTCACTGGCAAAGGGAGTCAAATGCTTACATACCTATCTCACAGAATTCTTAACATACTTTATACAAGTAACAACTTATGCAAAAGTACTTTATAAATTTTAAAATTCTGTTGAAATATGTACATATATTTTATTTTTCTGCTTATAATTACTTTCTTTTTATTTTTTCTTAAAGATATCTGATTCCTAGCTGTAGAGGTACAATAGACATGTTCCTGCAATGTCATTTGTGACTTTTTAAAAAGGCAGCCAGCTGAGTGTAGTGTCTCATGCCAGTAATCCCAGCTATTCAGGAGGCTGAGATGGGAGGATCAGTTAAGGCCAGGAGTTTGAGACCAGCCTGAGCAACACAGCAAGACCCTATCTCTAAAATAATTTTTAAAAAACAATTAGCCAGGCATGATGGTATGCACCTGTAGTTCTAGCTACTCAGGAGGCTGAGGCGGGAGGATACCTTGAACCTAATAGTTTAAGGCTGCCGTGAACTATGATCATGCCACTGCACTCCAGCCTGGACAATAGAGTGAGACCCTGTCTCAAAAAATGTATATATATATATGTGTATATATACACACACATGCACACACACACACATTTAGTATAGTCTATGACTTGTGACTAGTTAGCTTTTTGATCCAGTTTTATAGGAGCTCTGTCTTTGTCTTGGCTTTCTTATTTGAAAATGCAGAAAATAGTTCATATTCTGTTATAGGAGTGATGCTATTATTATTTTACTAAAGTGATTTATAACCAGGTACCTTAGTTTTTCTGTGAATCCAGATTTCCACATATTGGGCTTGCATTATGTTACATCTACTTAAGGCATATATTTAATTCTATTTTGTGGAAAGGGCTGGGATATTGTTGTCTTCTACTATAACTACACAATCTTTGCAAAATCATTTCTTAACAGTTTAAAGAAATAAAGGGTAGTGCATTTAGTTATACAGTTTACACCATTGTTCCATTAGAAGCTAAATGATAGGAGTGAGGATACAGTGACATCAATTGTTAAGGCCTGTGCATTATTCATTTAACATCTGCTGTTGGTTTTCTTTTCCCTATGGGAGAATAAATTACAGCACATCAGCACATTTTTCATGCTTTGTGTTTAAGCATTTAAAAGACATTTATTGTATTATTAATATTATTTTATTTCTGCTTGCTTGGCAGCCCCTGAAGTTATCAATGCCCACGACTATAGCCAGCAGTGTGACATTTGGAGCATAGGTGTCATAATGTACATGTTGTAAGTAGCCTGCTAAATGTACACTTTAAGATGAGTGGATAGTTTCTAACAGTAGAATGATATAGACTTTAAATTAAAACTAATATATATTTTTAAAAAGTGATTTAAAAACCAATTGGGAGATCATTCTAAAAGTTCTCTTATTAGTTGTCAGGTATACATCCCTTAGGTATTTTTTAATACTGTAAATTTATAACTTTCAGCTTTGGTTTTCATTGATCTATAAATGCAACAATATGATCTGAGCAAAATGAAAAATCTTAACACCTCCCGTATCCCTTGCTACAAACCAAAAGCTTCATGAAGTTCACTTATAGCTTATCAGGTGTAGGCAAGTACTGTGGCCTGGCACTGGTTCTGCCCATACAGGCAGAGCATAGGTGGGAGTGGGTACTAACTAGGCAGAGGGTCACTCAGGATCTAGGGGAGTATTCTACAGTTCCTAGTTCCCTTAATGCTGCTGTAGCCTTCAGTCATTCTTGTTCTTCCTTCTCTTTCATTCTCAAGATTCAGTCAAACTCCATGTCCTGCTCATTTTTCCTTTGAAATATCCTTACCTATTCTTTGATTTCTCTTCACCTGTATCTTTTCTCCTTATGATTCCTTTTCTAGACTATTGCAGGGTCTTTCTGACTGTTCTCCCTACTTCTGGTCACCCTCCCCGGTCTGTCCTTCATGTTGCTGCCAGGGGTGTCCTTTCAAATCACAAATCTGATCATACTGCTTCCCTGATTAAAAGCCTTTGATATATATATACATACATATATATATATTTGTATACAGATAAGTATCAGAGCATCCTGGCATGGCATAGCATGGCATGGCATAGCAGGTCTTTCATGACCTGACTCCAGCATGCCTTTCCAGTTTGGGGCTAGATATGTATTCCTGTGCACCTACACTGTGCTGTGATGATTCCAGGTCACATTTCAATACTCAGACACACCCTGTGTCGCTTGCCTCTGGGGTGTGTATGGGTATGTGTGTATTCTTTTTCTTTACAAGCTTCTTTCCTGGGTGGACTCAGCTCAAACATTAAAGCCTTCTATTTCTCTACTCCTACTTTACCCCACCATAGCAGAGTTCCTACATTTATTATGTATATACTTTCTCATGCTCCACAAAAGATTTTAAGGTAGCATGCAAAACAGTAATGTTGAAAGAAAAAATAATAAAATAGGAACATTTAACCAGGAAGGTTTGCACATGTGTAAATCCAATAGACTTCATTGTTCCCTTTTATGTAGTCTCATAAAGCTTTTAAAAACTATATTATAATATTATATATATAGTATCTGTTTTCCTTGTTCCAAATTCCATGGAGGACAGAGACCTTAGATTATTCATCTTTGCATTCCTGGTATGTGGTATAAGAGACATACATTCAGTGCTCAGTATGTTTGTTAAATTGAATTAAAGTGAATTTTCTAAGAGGTGTTCTGAAAAGTTAGTGACCATTGTTCTGCCTCTTGGTGAATGTGAACATTTTTATGTTGATGCAACATTAGTTTTATGGTCATATTGAAGATTTCACTATGCACTACCTCTTCCAGATCATTTCTAAATATTGATATCACAGTAGTTACATTTTCACAGGTCTGTGAAATGGAATACACAGGCAGTAGAAATTGGATGATGTGATTGTAGCTGTAACTCAGCTGGTCAACACACATCGTTGCTTAGATTACATAAAGTATAAAAGTATTCAAAAGTTTTTGATCATTTTGTGCTGATTAAAATCATGGTGCAAAAATTCTGAGCCTTAGTCTTTAATTAAAATATAGCTTTTAAATTAATCTTTATACTCTTAAGGCTTTATCGAAAGCATGAGTCAAACATCCTACATATAATCTAATATTATGCAATTCATATAGTGTTTGCTGCCTTCTTAGTTTGAACTTGGTGTTAAGGAAAGTGAATGTATTATATCTTAACTATCTTTCTCTTTCTTAGAAATATAATTTTAATTTTTCTGCTTCAGAGTGTGACTGCATATCATCATAATGACGTTGTCTTTTCTTTACAGTAGACTCTTACTTAGCTAATCAGTGCCTATTCATTAATCTGTCTGAGCCCAATGGTGTTATAATTTCCTTCACCAAGAGCACAAACATATTACCTTCTCCAGGGGGTTTATTTGCTTGTTTTTCAGTGACCTCTGATTCATTTCTATTTAATCAGATAGTGCTAACATACTTTCTCAAGGTGAAATTAGCATAAGTAAATATTCTTTGTAGTTACTGTCCTCTGCTGTTTTGATTTCTATGAATGCAACAAAATAGTAGGAAGACTTTAAGAGACATTTTTCATTTCTTGGATTCCCTTTTCTGGATGTGGAGGAAATTGCTGTCATAAAATTTTGTATGCTGCTGATTAACCAACCATTAGATACATTTTTATGTAAGTAAAATTGCAAAGAACAGAAAAAAGTGAACTTTTTAAGATGTAGCCCTTAAGCTATAGTTGCATGCTAGTCAGGTAATGTAGAGGCAGCTAAGTAATTGGTGGATGTGCATATCACTGGTTGATAACAGGCTCAATGAAGTAGGCCTTTGCTGGCCTGCACTATTATATAGTAATTGTCCAGTAGGCCATTTTTCTGGCTATTTTGTTTTCCATAGCTTTTTAATTGCATTTTAAAACTAAATATCTAGGCGAATAGGATGAGACAGAGGAAATCAGAATGAGCTAGAGAGATAAAAGGTATTAAAATAAGAGTTTGCAGAACAATATGATACTGATAAATACTTAGTAAGAACCTATTGATAAATGAAAAAGCTCTATTGTCCGGTCTAGTTTGATAAACCACTAGGATGAAAGCAACTTTTCTCCCCACAAAAGTCATCATAATCATCGTTATTACTATGAAAAAATCAAATTTTGACTTATTCAGAAAATGTTCATGAGTTAGATTTTTAAATAATTAAAAATATAAAGAAAATTAGTAAAAATGTAACTGTTAAAAGACATAGAGATTAGTATACTTATGTACAGTGTAGACCAGCAGTTTGGGAAGTATAATGAAATTACACCATTTTATTCTTTCATCAATGAAGTATAAAGATATATTCCTGAGAGTTGAAGAATAGACCCAGAGTTGCCCCTGTGATGAATCTAATTTCATCTGTTTGGTTGTCTTTGGACAAATCTGGTTGTTGTCTTAGGATTGCCCTCAGGTGTTGGAGTTGACAGTAATGAGGATGGCTGACATTTGTTGATATTGTATTATGAAGAATTGAAGTCAGCTTTTAAGATTGTTCTTGTAGTTTTGACCTAGATCACTTATTGAAGTAATAGCTTTATAGGCTTGCCATGTTCTGTTAAGAGTCTAAAGATACATTGTTTCTGTATTACAAGCCCATGTTTACTTTATACACACTGCTCATGGTTTTACTGATGTTGGTCATTATGTGTACTCAGCTTTCACCCTTTCAGGCCGAAGGGTCAAATTATTGTCTGATTTTTCCACATTCAGACCCTTTTCATTTCATATACAATTTTTGAAGAGTTGTGTCAATTTTAATGGCTTTTTGGCTTTGACTCAGATCCTGTAGAAATTCCCAGGGTTAGGGCTGGGCACATTTGTGCACGCCTATAATCCCAGCATTTTGGGAGGCCAAGGCAGGTAGATCACTTGAGGTCAGAAGTTCGAGGCCAGCCTGGTCAACATGGTGAAACCCTATCTCTACTAAAAATACAAAAATTAGCCGGGCGTGGTGGTGCATGCCTGTAAACCCTGCTACTCAGGAGGCTGAGGCAAGAGAATGACTTGAATCCAGGAGGTGGAGGTTGCAGTGAGCCGACATCGTACCACTGTACTCCAGCCTGGGAGACAGAGTAAGACTCCATCTCAAAAAATAAAAAGAAATTCCCAGGGTTAGTCTTGGTTTATTTTTATTATTGCTAACATTTGTATAGTATTTTACTATGGATAAAAGCCTTAGCTGGTCATTAGACTTTGGAAACTAATTAGACCCTGATAACTCACTGTATTTTTCAGTTGAGTCAATTTGCATTATGTACCTTAAGGTATTACCTTCCTGTTGCTCACTCTCAAAGTGTATCTCCTTCATTAGCTACGACTATTATTGTACACTTACACTCACCTTCCCATATTTTAGCCCCAGTTAAGCTTAGTGTTTCCCCACCTGCAAGAGCTTTGGGTCATTGCTAATCTGGAGGTTTTAGTGTATATTTGCATACTTCCTCTACCAGATCCTTTCTCTAAATATTGAAATAAGAGCCTAGCACTGATCTTGGAAAACCTTGTTGCTTCCATTTTTACTTCCAGGCAGGTACCCATCTCTTCCCATCCTTTCCTTAAATATGAAGCAGCACTACTTCCAAGTCCTATGGAAACTTAATTTTAATAGCCTTATTTTTGTTATTTAAAAATTTAAACAAAGTGATTGCTTTTGTTGCAGATTTTGTGGAGAACCACCCTTTTTGGCAAGCTCAGAAGAGAAGCTTTTTGAATTAATAAGAAAAGGAGAACTACATTTTGAAAATCCAGTCTGGAATTCCATAAGTGATTGTGGTAAGTATAAGTGTGTTATTATTTGCTAAAGCTAATATAAGTAACATAGGAAAGTTGGCCAGTGGTTAAAATGTTTTAAATCTCTGTTTCGTCATTAAATTTACTTGTGGAAATGAACACTATTTACTTGTGGAAATAGAAATATCTTCACTGTGATTGTTCATCATCAAAACTTTCAAAAACAGAAAATACGTAATAAAAGTTAAAGAGGAAATTTGCTGATCATCTAGCTAATGTTTACTATAGACCATTAAACTAGGTATTCCAGGCAATAAAACTTCACTTTAGGCTTTAAATTTTATTTATTAGGCATTTATACTGATGATTTTTATTGTATACTTGACATCTTTCTTTCCTGTTATACAGACCTAATCCTAAAAAATTGTAAAATGTGTGCTATTAATTGTAGTTAAAATAAATAAGATTTTTCAGGATTTTTTTCTTATTTTTAGCTAAAAGTGTTTTGAAACAACTTATGAAAGTAGATCCTGCTCACAGAATCACAGCTAAGGAACTACTAGATAACCAGTGGTTAACAGTAAGTTACAATATTACTTCTTTCTTTCTGACACGCTACCATTGCTCATTTCTTTTTATTTTGTCTTGGAGTTTTCTGTATAATCTTAAAACAGTCAGTTAGTTTGATTTTCTGTCAAATTAAAAAACATTGAGTCTTGACAAATTTCTGAAAATGGGCATTTTCAAACTGTTAGAACTGTTGTCACAGTTGTTTATATATATTTATAGAGGTTTAAATGATCTTTGTTCAGTGTCATGAAAGTATCATGTCCAATAGAACAGAGCTGAAAAATGTCCAATATTATAGCTCTGGAAAGTTGAAACAGTCTATATAGTTCAGTGATGTAAAACACTGGAACCACTCACCTCTCTTTCAACTCTTGGGGTGTAGAAAATCTTTAGGGACTCAGAAAAGCCATAATCTCCAAACAGTGGCAGTCTGCTGGTTTGGAATTTTATTTATTTACATATTGCTTTCTGCCGTTAGACTAAATTCTTCAAGCACAGACCTTGTGTCTTACTGATCTTCGCATCCCTGCATCCAAACATTACCTGGTCACAAGAGGAACCTTGGAAAAGGCTACTGCTTATCCCTCAGTATTTATTCTTCTCCTTCTATAATAATAAGGATCCTGACTTTTGGTTGGAAACATTGCTGTCCAGTTAAAAGACTCTTCCCCAGTGTTCTTTGCTAGTTATCGTGATGGTCAGTGAGATGCAAGTGGAAGTGGGTGCAATTTCTGGAAAGTGTCCTTAAATGGAGCTGGTGTGGCATTTCTCATGTACTTCCTCTTTCCTGGTAGATGCAGATGTGAGTTTGAGTAGCCATATTAGATTATAAAGTGGAATCTGGAAATGGCAGAGCAACAAGATGCAAGAAACCATAATAGTAGCTCACAGAGCTGCCATGTCAACCCTTCACTGCCTACCTCTAGAATTTATGAATGGGAAACAGACTTCTGTCATCTTTAAAATACCCTATAGTGTGCAGCTGGACCTAATTTCAATTAATACAATCCTCAAACAATTGCTGAATGAGTGAATGATTCAGTAAGTGGATAGGTCTGTAGATACCTCAGAAATTTTTCTGTGAACTGAGATTAGAAATTATTAGAGCCATATGGGAATATTACTAGAGAGTATTCATCTATTAAAAATTGTAGATCTATTATTTGCTAGATACTGTGTTAGGTATTGGGGATACATGATATAATTACATTTAAAATGTAAATTAGCATATAATAATTTTTTTTTTTTTGGGGATGGAGTCTCACACTGTCGTCGGGCTGGAGTGCAGTGGCACAATCTCGGCTCCTGGGTTCAAGCGATTCTCCTGCCTCAGCCTCCTTAGTAGCTGGGCACTAAGGAGGCACGTACCTCCTAAAGGCACCTACCACCACACCCAGCACATTTTTGCATTTTTTGTTTTGTATATTTTGTATTTTTGTAGACACGGGGTTTCACCATGTTGGCCAGGATGGTCTCAATCTCTTGGCCTTGTGATCTGCCCGGCTCGGCCTCCCAAAGTGTTGGGATTACAGGCGTGAGCCACCATGCCCGGCCGATAATTTTTGTAGGGACATGGATGCAGCTGGAAACCATCATTCTTAGCAAACTATCACAAGAACAGAAAACCAAACACCGCATGTTCTCACTCATAGGTGGGAACTGAACAATGAGATCACTTGGACTCAGGAAGGGTAGCATCACACACCGGGGCCTATCATGGGGAGGGGGGAGGGACTGCATTGGGAGTTATACCTGATGTAAATGACGAGTTGATGGGTGCAGCACACCAACATGGCACAAGTATACATATGTAACGAGCCTGCACGTTATGCACATGTACCCTACAACTTAAAGTATAATAATAATAAATAAATTTAAAAAAAAAGATCATTCTGACTATTTGGGGGGGGAATGGCTTGGAAATAGGGAATTAGATAGATGTTGAAGTAGTACTGTTGAGAGATAATAGTGACTTGGATAGAATAGAGATGAAGAGAAAAACATGAGTTATATTTTAGAGGCATAATTGATAGGATTTGATGATGGATTAGATGAAGAATGAGGATAAGAGAGGAGATAAGGATGACATCTAGATTTTATTCAAATAACTGGTTCGATGTTGGTGCCATTTACTGAGATATGGAAGACTGTAGGAGAAATAGATTTCTTTCTGGGACAGGGATGGTGAATCAAGAGTTCTGTATTAGATAGGATCAGTTTGCAATGCTTATGTGGCATCCAAGTGGCGATACCAAACAGATAATTGAATATATGAGTTTGAAACTGGAAAGATTTAAGATGGAGATATAAATTTGAGAATCATGAGTATACAAATACCACATAAAGCCATTGGACTGAAGAGATAAATAAGGAAGAAAATACAGATAGAGAGAAGAGGCCCCAGCAACATGTCTTTAGGCACTAAAACATTAAGAACCTCAGATAAGTTTAGATATATAAATATATAGTGATATCACCCTCCTTTTAAATTACCTAATTTTCCTTTGGCAATTTCTAATCATTGCTTTAAATAACTTTTTTTTTTCTTTAAGGGCTAAAAATAGTCTTCATCCAAGAATGAATTCTATTTGCCCTCTTCTATGAATGTGTTACTCTCTCAAAGGATTCTGTGCAATAATTATTTCTGGCCTAAAGTAATTGTGCAAATGAGTTAGCAGCTAGATCACTGCAAAACTATATTGAGTAGGTTTGTAGTACAGCAAAATAAACTGTAAAACAGATGGTGTGCCTTAGAAATTTATCTCTTTTCAGCATCACATAACATTCGGGTTGGGCCATTTAATTATTTGTTTTCTAATTAGCACAACTTTATTTCTGGCTTTGGTCATTTTTCTAGTAGTCTTCATTTTTGAGCCTCTGTAACATTTGTCTCTATGAAGTCTTTGCCAAACGGATAGAGAAGTGACAGATATTGTGTGCTATATCGGATTGTCCTAAGGAATTCAGTGGATGAAATTTAGAATACTGGCATTTTACAAACTTCTAAAAGGCAAAACTCTTCTTAACCACTTGAAGTCTTACTTTCTATGACTCATATCCTCTGTTTGAAGTAATCTAAGGAAAACATGATAGTTCTCTCAGCGCCCTGCTGCTTTATAACCAGAGCTTACCTTCTGCAATACCTAACACATAGTAACATTTTTCTATAAAAAGTTTCTATGGTTTAGCCTATGTACTGTGCATTTTGAAATATGGTAATTATCTGAAAAGTATTCTAAGAAAAATAACTATTTCTCTTGTACATTTAAGGGAATGGAATTTCAAATAAACACATACATATTGTCATCCTGATTTTAAAAGTCAGAGGTTAGATATAAGGAAAAATACCCAAGAAATGACTTTCTTGCAAAGAAAGAGTTTGACTCTAATGGCCGGGAATATGCCGGTTCTTTTCTTTCGTTCATTTCTTCCTTGTTTCCTTTTACTGGCAACTGTGGTTCAGGAGTTAATTGCTTCTTATTAGGTAATTGCCTTGGTATTCCTTCAAAGTCTCCTGGTGACAAATAACACCAAGAATTTACATTTTAAACAAGTTTCCCAGGTATTTCTTCTGCCCACTTATGTTTAAAAGCCACTGCTATAAATTAAGGAAGCCACTTTTTTTTTTTTTTATGTCTTGCCAAAATGTAGTTTGAGCTTTAATGGTATTCAAACATTAATTCCTTCAACACATTGTGTGTGCATGCACGGGTGCGCCTACCAGGTACCAAGTGTAGGTATAAAATATAGTTAAAGCCACAAAAGACATGGTCTCTGACATAAGGAACTTACAATTTAGTAAGGAAAACAGCCTATGTGTAAGATTCAATGCAAGGAAGAAAATGATAAATGACATAAGAAATTACAAAATGACCAGAGGTATGGAGGCAAGCAAGCGTGAAGTCAGAAAGTTTAATTTGACTGGCAGATAAGAAGCTTGAAGGAAAGAAGTGAGAAATGAGACCAGAAAAGGAAAGAAAATTGTGAGACTAAGAAAGAAAAGAAAATCATGAGTGGACTTGAATCCAGGTTACAATTTTAACTTCATTTCATAGGTAGTAAAGAACAGTTGTATGCTCTTTGAAATGAAAGAAATTATTAATATCGTTAAAGTGCATCAGTCTTGCCAGGTGGCTTATTTTAAATAGGACCTCAATCACCCAAATGTCTATATTGATTGTAGCAAGTATCATTTTATTTAATCCATCAGGTACTAGAGAGGTACAAAGATGAATAAAACAGTTCCTCTCCTTGAGTAACTAATTTACCACAAGTAAGTCTGTACTTTGCTTTGTAGTCACAACCTTGCAAAAGCACTTTGTAATCAAGGTGTAGGGACTAATTTCAGAACAGTCTTTCCTAATGTATGAACAGGGCCTTTGTTCATTAATTTACGTATTGTTATTCGGGTTTTGATCATTAGCTTTTGACCTCTAGCTTTAACATATATACTCTATATAAGAGGATGGAAATTTTCTGATACCTAACTAATTGTTGGCTGTTATTTTTTCCTTCTGTATATTTTCATCCTAAATATGTTAACTCTTACTTTATTTTACTGTATGTATTCATACATTCTGAATTAATCTTAGATATGTGAATACATTTTTGAGTCTCTAATGAAGCTTTCCATAAAAATTACGTTAAGGAGGCCAGGCATGGTGGCTCACGTTTGTAATACCAGCACTTTGGGAGGCCGAGGTGGGTGGATCACAAGGTCAGGAGTTTGAGATCGGCCTGGCCAATATGGTAAACCCCATCTCTACTAAAAATACAAAAATTAGCCTGGCATGGTAGCGGGTGCCTCTAGTACCAGCTACTTGGGAGGCTAAGGCAGGAGGATCGCTTGAACCCAGGAGGTGGAGGTTGCAGTGAGCCAAGATCGCACCACTGCACTCCACCCTGGGTGACAGAGCAAGATTCCATCTAAAAGAAAGAAAAAAAAAAAAATTTATGTTAAGGAAAAGCTCATGAGCCAGGACACTTGGGGATTTACTCAATATTCAATTA